TGCAGTATATATGGTGGATTTGTCATGCCAATCCGCAGCATCACGCTTCTATCTCGAGGAAGCTCTGCCACTAGCGCGCGAAGAAGTGTTGGAATATCACTCCCTATATCACGCCCTGCACCGACGCAAAGTTAGATTCGTCCTTAGAAACCAATAGAGAAAGTACCATAAGCTCCAGTATCCTCGCTACTTAGCCAAATCTCTGTTACACCCTCGGACACAACCCCTTGCAGCCTCTTCACCTTTTCTTCGCAAAAAGAAAAGTTATAGAAAGTTTAAAACACAAGAATGAAAGAAAAGAAAAGCTAGCATTTACCAGAGCCTCGATCTTATAGCTGCCAAGATGACCCCGTGCGTGTTTCGTCTTGCAATACGTACACGAGCCCAGGCAGCCCACGTTGATTGGAATAATCTCCACAAACTTGTTCTTACGGACCTGGATGGGCAGGAAAATCCACCTCTTTACGGGTTATCCTGAAACCTCATGGCAAACCTTGGGTAAATCAAGCGATGGAAGTGTACTCCGCCTGAGCAGCTTGACTTCGTGACCTTTGAGAGTCTCTTCCACCACCTCCACAACACGCTGTATTTGCTGCACTCCTACAACGCTCACGCCTTCCAAGTCTTTCAGATCCTTGCTTCCCTGAGGAACGCACCCGGCAATCACCAAGGGAATCGTTTGAGCCTTTCCTTTGCGTATCAGTGTTTCCATTGCAGACTGACTGGGTGCCTTCACTGTGCATCTGTACAAAAAGCGTCCTTTACAATCGTCTCCGCAAGTAAAAGAGGAAGAAGAAGACGAAGAAAAGAGAGATTCACGGACTTACGTATTGATCAGCCAAAGGTCGGCCTCGTCAGGATCTTCGGATATCTTATAGCCGTAAGCGAGAAGTTGCCCGGCCATGTACTCACTGTCACTCTGAAAAGAAATCCATTTCAAGGGCGAAAAGAAAAGAATTTTGGAGCAGCCCAGTACCTGGTTGTGTGCGCAGCCAAATGTTTTCAGGAAAATTGTCTACACGCAAACACACATTTTCAAACACGAGCTAAAATTCGAGGACACCATACCTGCGTTCCGGGAATTTGTTTCGCTTGCTTTGATTCATCCGAGGAAGGATTTCGCCGCTTAGATCGCAACTTCACCTCGATCACTGGACGATCGTGATGAGTCGAGCGATTGCCCAGCACTAGATCCTCCATGTCCCCCACATCGCCTTCCATCTCGCCCAAATTCGCCCTAACCCTAAAACCCCCTTAAACCCTAATGGAGGAGGACAAGAATTTGCGAGCGCGCCTCGGGGACGATGGACTCACCGTGATCAATGCGGCCGAGAAAGGGCGATGCCTCGTCGCGGATCGCGATTTCTATGCGGGTAATCGCTAGGATTTTGCGGCATTTGTGATGTGAAAGCGTGGATCTCTTTCTATCCAGGCCAGACAGTGCTGGAGCAAGATCCTTACGTCGCTGTGCTCGACGGCGATTCCAGAGGCAACAGATGCGATGCATGTTTCAAGCAATCTCCAGCGCTGAGGCGCTGCTCGGCTTGCAAATTCGTGTTTTATTGCTCTCCTACTTGCCAGGTACTCTGTGTGACGTGATAGAATAGTTTTTACGTTCTATTCCTTAGAGATCGCAATGGAAGATCCATCAGGAAGAATGTAAGGTTTTGGTTCGGTTGAGCACGGAACAAAAGCGGCCTACCTTGCTGCTAATGCTTCGTCTTCTCGTCAAACGAGAACTCCAAGCTACTGGTGTACGTATTTTTCTCGTTTCTTTTTTATCACAGTAGCAGTCACAAGTTCGCTTTGTTTTGTTCCAGGTTCTTCCAGTTACTGCTCTGGATAACTATGAGATTGTCCGGGCTTTGCCAACTCGTATCCAGATTTTCTTCTACGTTTCGTTCACTGCCTTCTTTTTGCTCGTCCTTGACTAACTTCAGATTTTTCCGAGACTGGAGATGAGAGGCTCGTTATGTACGCTCAAATGGCTGTCCTGATAAAGACTATCTTGAATGCCAGATATGCTGAGGATGTGAAGGAGATCACGAAGGATATTTGCAGAGTTCGTCGCTTTCAAGTGTTTTGCTACTAAGATGCGGTTTTGTCTGCAGATTTCATGCAATGGTCATACGATTTGCGACGATGAGCTGCGTCCTGTTGGCATTGGACTTTTTCCTGTGGTGTCTATAATCAATCACAGGTGCGTTTGACACATTTTAGCTGACTTGAATGCTCACATTTGTGCTCTTTTTAGCTGCTCTTCAAATTCTTTGCTCTTGTTTGATGGCAAACACGCGGTCGTCAGAGCTCTCGGAACCATCAGCAGAGGTTGTGAGGTTTGGTCTTCTGAATGCTCTGCTCAATTCATACTAACATTAGAGTTGGACAGGTGACTGTGAGCTACATTGAACTGGGAGCGAGTACAAATTCCCGTCGAGAAGCTCTTTCTGACCAATACTATTTTCATTGCAAGTGTCCGAGATGTACCGATGTAAGTCCGCAAGCTCGTGCATCTTTTATGCTCGCGTTTTCTTGATAGACTTATCCAGGACTCCGAAGCTGGCCTTTACAAAGACGACGTGCTCGAAGCCGTGGCTTGTCTGGATCCAGCCTGCGAAAGCTTTATGCGTCTCTCCAATGGTATGTGCTTCGAGATTTCCAGGATTAACTTTCTAAAGTACTGTAGGTTCGTGGAGATGCATGTCGTGTGGTTCTAGTCGAGAGCCAAATGAAGTGAACAAACTTTCAACCGAAGCAGAGGGTATGATTGAGAAGGCTAACCGTCTCCAAGCCGCTGGCGGTATGCTTGTATCGTTTTCAAGTTGGTTTTATAATTTCTGTTTCTCGCATTTAGATCTTCATGGCGCGAGGATGGCCTTTCAACAGGCAGAGAAGTTACAGACAGAGTTGTGGAATCCTCGATCAGTGAAACTGATGAGAACACGCGACCTGCTGCTTAGGGTATGATCGAAACATACTTTGTTCTTGACCTGCCTAATCTTTTCATTGTTTGTGTATTGGATGAAGGTATATCTCTCTCTGGAAGATTGGGACTTGGCACTACATGTTTGCCGGCTTACTCTTCCTGCTTATGAGAGTAAGCTAGTCTCATATCCTTCATAAGCATTAAAATTCTCTTTTCCAGCGGCATATCCTGGAAGCAAACATCCATTGCTTGGGCTGCAATACTACACACTTGGGAAGCTTGAAATGTAGATCTCGAGCCGACGTATGATTTCTAAACATCGGTGATGTGTGTTTCCAGGCACGCTGGCAGTGTCACAGAAGCCGTGAGAGCTTACGCAAAAGCTTTCGATATCCTTAGCGTCACTCATGGCTCCAGAGGCGAGTTTGTAAGAAAGCTGCGCAATGAATTAGACCAAGCGAAGATGGTGGCCTCGTCACTGCATGCTACTTCACCTCGGGAACGATCCTGACGATGATTTCCTCAACACATTGGTATAAGTGCGTTATGCCCGAAGGCTTTTGGAAGTGATCCCAACGATGGAGTCACTGGACTGGAAACGTCCATCAGGAGAATGTAAGTAGCTGAGCTCTAGTGATTCTGTTTTAATGCCACTTCAGATAATAAGGAAGTTTGATATATCTTTTAATGGATAAGTTGCTGATGTTATGATATTAGAAGTCATTTTTGTATAAGGAAATAATCATTGCTTGAGAAGTTCATCATTAAGAGATATATAAACATCTAAAAGTGGTGTTTAGTATTGTAAGGACTTTAGATTAGGCCTACAGATAATAAGGGCTAAATAATGTTCAAAGTGGCAAGTGTCACAAAAACTATTGTCATTGGAGAGGGATTGTAAGTGACTAGTGATTATTTGTAAACTACTTAGTTTAAAGAAAATGACTTGAAAGATGGGTTCAAATATAAAAGGGAAAACCCGATGAAGAAAAATATACTCTCTTTTCTAATTGATTAAAGGTTTTGAAATATTTAAAGTTAAATAATCCTTGGGTTTGAATACTATACAACTATACCATATGTTGATTGACATTCGACAAGTCTAATTTACTCAGGCTAAGGGTAAGGTGTCAAAAGAGTAAAGATCTTAAGAGAGTTATAACTCTTAACTCCCTTTCATGAGTGCATAAACTTGTAGAAAAGTATAATAAATTATAAATAATCAAAGAAAACAACTTGAAAGGGTAAGTTTAAAGCAAATATAAAAAGAAAGATAAAATTTCACCCTTTAATAAACTTGAGGGAAGTGTGATGGATTATAAATAATTAAAGAAAAAAACTTGAAAGGTAAATTTAGAATAAATATATAAAGAAAGATAAGATTGCACACTTTTTTTAAATGATTAAAGATTTTGGGATATTTTGTAGCGCATGTGATCATGGGATGAAATTTAGATATACTATCACCGTGGATCCTTGGAACCTTGGGGGATAAATGGGGATAAAATAGCCACTAAGGGCTCTCTCATCAAGCAATTGCCCCTTTTCTAGTTGGTTTAAGAGGAGAAAGATAAAATGCGCTACATATTTAGAATTAAACATTTAATTTTCTCTAATTGGGCTCAACTTGAGAGGTAAGGTGTCAAAAAAATGAGGCTGTTGGGAGAGTTATGGCCCTCAACTCTCTTTCATGAAGGCATAAATTTATAAAAAAATGTGGTAGATTGTAAACAATTAAAAAATAACTCGAAAAGGTAAATTTAAAGCAAACATGTGCACCCTCTTTTGGACATGATAATTAACTCCTTGATGATTTGTTATCTATAGTTGGGTACTATTGAAAATTAATCTTAATATAAAATTTAGTTAGCTTAGTTGCTAAATAACTTTGAGTGACTTTTGTTTAACTTTGTTAAATATTTACATGATAGTAAGTCAAATAAAATGTTTTCTCAATAATAATAATATAAAAAATAAAAAATAACGCATTGGCAATTACCCCATCCAATAACTACCATTGGCTGGATCTAACAGCCTAAAAAATTCAACAATTATTATCACAAACACAAAATAGTCACATCATTTTGTATATCCTTTCAAGTTCTCGGCGAGCATCATCTAAAGTGCCTCTAGCTGCTGGGTCAGTCTGCATCAATATTCGCGACAAGGTGTCCAAATCAGGTCGAATGAAATGTTCACTCTGCCACGACCTGATCAAATATCCCAGTGACCATATATCCACTTCTTTACCATGTTCCCCGCTTCCTAAAGAAAGCTCAGGCGCATGACTAGCCGCAGCCAGGTGCTTTGGAGCTGACAATTGAGGAGACATAGCTGCATCATCAAGATCAATAAGCCACCATGTCCCTGCATGGAACAAACAAAATAAGGCAATTAGACCACCAGTAGACAACAGCCACCACCTGTATCAAAGCTCCGACGAATGTTCGGCCACCTCACATCCCTGTGCATCCATCCAAGCTTATGTAGGTGTTCCAAGGCTTTAATCGTGTCCAGCAGGGCCTCAACGAGCTCAGGCCCGTTTCTCGGCTTAGCTGCATAGCTCAACCGAGGATAAAAGAGGTGAGAGCCTTTCTTTTTCCCAGGAACGGGCTCTTGATGTCCAATGAGTCTTTCTATATTCGCACCACGTAGCAGATATTCGTGTTGAGAATCCAGTAAGATTCCAGCCTCTGGAATTACTATCTCATTCACCAAGCCAATTGCCTCGTAGATTTCTTGGACGTTCCTCCAAGCCTACAAAAACAATGTAACTTCAGTAAGCCATTCGAGCTTGAGCGCACATACCTCCTCAGAATCGTACGTCTTTTTTACAGGCTTAAAGCCATTGAGTCGAACCATCTTGCGTGGGCTTTCGAAGACAACGATGTCTCGCTCAACACCAAGTTCCCTGCAAATCCGGCCCAACACTGGTATGATGCGAACAATGTTGAACAGACATATCAGTATCTCTGGAAGGCTGCCCTTAGTGTCTCTTTTGAAGTGTAGAAGTTGTTGGGCGCGTGACTTCCCGATTTTATAGACTCCAGTCGAGTCCTCGTGTAGAGCCACAACAAATACTTCTGGACCTACTGCAGCGTACCCCAGTATATATTCCAGCCCATAAAACATCCACACCGGCTTGGTTTCTAGCTCGACCAGAGGAGACTTTGCCTTTTCAATGCCCGCCAGAAGTGTTCCAGCCCATCTCTTCTCTTCTCCCCTGAACACCCCGATCAATTCTGGCAGCACGTACAAAACGCTATGTGGCCTCTTGGTCCCTGTAGATGTATAGTAGGACGTGTCCCTGCCTGTAACTACCGGACAGTCGTCAGGCAGGCAAAAGAAGATGGTCTCCATAAACCAGGAGTCCCAATGCGATATCCACGCATTTTCCGTCCAGTCTATCTTCTCCGGCTTATCATAGAGGTCCAAAAGCAAGTCGATTTGCCTGGAGATCATCTGGCAGTGATAACCGGGTTCTCCACAAGTAAAAGCTCTCCGATACTCGGACTCGGTGGCTGCCAGCCTAGTAAAAGTCCACGGCGCCAGCGGTATGCTTAAACCGTCAGGAACGATCTGCAAGAACCTGGCAAGTGACTGACGAGAAGGCAGTGTTTCCAGTCTGTACGAATGTAAGATTCGTTTCCATGGGTCCTCGGGATTAAAAGCTGCCAAATAAACGACTTAGTAAGCCTGACGTTGAATAAAATCAGACTTACACTTGCGCAACTTCTGCAACAACAGGTCCGTCCCTGCTCTGAGCTCGCTTTCCCTTTCCAACAACAGGTCCTTCTCTGCTTTGAGCTCGCTTTCTCTACGCTTCCAATCCTCCTCCTTCTTCTTCCAGTCTTCCTTTTCTGCACTGAGCAGTGCGACCTTCACTTTCAACTCGATACACTCTGCAACATCATAAACTATGACTCAAAAGAAAAAGGAAAAGGAAAGAAGCGTACCTTCCTCGATATCCTTGCCATGCTCTGTGAAAACCATGAGCTACTAAGCTACTACATCTGAAACGAACAATAAGCTTGCCTTCCTGGCGCACCCGCTTCATCGTCCGCAAACCCTAATTATTGAACTGCACAAACCTAAGAAGAATTGATGCGCCCAGCTGCATGCTCCCATGAGCTTTTCCTTATCGCCCAATTCTTCATGGACAAAAAGAATTTCAGCGTCCCGGTAGGTAAAAATACAAACATTCCGATAAACCTCCTGAATACTTTTGTGACCAAATGGTTCAGTAGATGCCCCTAGACATCTGCTTTTCCCAACGTTGTGGTAGAAGGCCATCTTTTTCATCGCAGATCTTGTAAAAAACCACGGCTAAAAGTTATTTCCATATGCTTCCTGTTTGTATTGAGCAAGTTAATCTCCCCAAAATAGCCGCTAAAAAAAATACGACTTCGTATCTGGAGGTCCAATGTGAAGAATATCAGCACCAACCTAAATGTGCTGCATCAATAAATCCTCGAAGCCTGGAGCAACTCGCATCCAACATCAATCGCAGCTGGTGACCAGCTGTTTCTCCGTCCATCCGTAATCATATAATAATCTGGCTATCTCAGCTGGTAGCTTGCACAGCTTTGAGTGTAACTGTTCCTTGTCAACTCCCGAGCAAACACATATGTGCAATACCACTGTGTAAAGTGTTGGTGCTCCTGTGCTTTCCGCCATCCCAATTGACGTAATGGCTTGTCTGGTGGTTGACCTTGTTGCATTGTGCTACATTTACGTTGGAGTGCTACTGTAAGCCTTTTGTAAGTCTTTTACACGCTGCCAAAGAAGTGCATTTGTCTTCTTAAGCAGCTTTAAAGCAATTGTTTGTAGAGTATTGTACACTGAGTCATGGAGAATATCAAATCCCTGTTGCTCAAAAATCTTCATCACCAGTGATTTCCCTAGAGCACCAAATTCGTTGGCTCCAGCAATGTTGGCCTCTCTTACATAGTGAAGCCCTTTCGAAACAATTAGCATGGTTTGTTCTTTATCAAGATCTCATGTCTTTTTCCATACACTTTCATACATGTTGCTTTTGTTTTTATTGGAAACCAAACATCTCCAACAAATTATTGCACCATAATATAGTCAACGTGATTATAGTAATTCATTTTTACTACCATGATGGTAGAAAACTAGTTCTTTTATCAATCTCTGCCCAAATTAATTGAAAATTTAATTTTCCCTTGTGCATTTAACCAAAAGAGTATAAAGATGGAATTTGAATTTCTAAGTGTTATTAATGAAACATACTTGACTTGGTTAGAGAAATTCATTTATTAGCTTGTAATAACTAATGTTGGGAACATTTTCAATAGTTATTTCATATTCATTTAGTGATCACTTACTATATCTATTAAAACACTATTACTATCATTCTTTTTATGTATTGATTCAATCTTAAAATGCCTTTTAATATCCCTTCTTTAATTTTTATTAAATCTTTATAAAATATAAATTTATAAGTCCCAAAATTAAGTTGAAAATGTATTATATAGCAATAGTTGAAATGAAAGTTGAACAAGTATAACATATTTAAACTAATTTTTTATTATATTTTAGTCAAATAAATACACATTTGACTAATTTAAAAAGTCTCACTCATAATCTCCATAGTTACTTTATAAATCATTTATCAATCTCTTCATGATTATTCCTTGAGCACTTCCTTAAGTGTTTATTTTCATTCTCAACCTTTTAAATTTAAATTTTTAGTCAAAACACTACTACATGACACATTTTTAACCCATATGGGATTTACTATGTCTTATATATATATTAAATTATTTGGACATGTAAGTTTTATTGTAATTATTATATTATTATTTTAAATACTACATAAATTACAATTTATAATTAAAATTAATAAAAAATAAGTAGATAATTCCTAGTTTTAATATAATTATTTAACTTCACATTAGTGTAGCTTGATGTCCACATCAAGAGAACATAAATTATACTTCATTTTAGTGGCTTTTTATCTGGTGCACAGGTAAATTTAAATAGTAATTGCTCAACCTTCCACTCAACTGTGTCTCTAAGGTCCTGGCAACAAGATTATGAATCGTCCTTGACGATCGTCTATTGTCTGCTGTTCACAAAAGCGGGTCGTTCTAAACTGCTCACAGTGAGGATCGAACTTACGACCTCTCGCTTAAGCAAAACCAAACCCTTTTTAATCAAAAGGGAAACAAATCTATTTATAAAGGGTGTTCCCTAAAAGTTACCGCAAAGTAGTACCAGATGGGTAGCGTTCCGGGAGTGGCGATCCTCGGCGCTGGGATCTTCACGACCAGTCAGTACCTCCCTATCCTCTCCAAGCAAAGCTCCACTGCGCCCATCCTCAAAGCCATTTGGAGCCGATCCAAGGTAGAGCTTCTCCACTTTTCTTCGATCCTTAGGGAAAGTCACTGGTTTGATCGATCCACAGGACGCTGCCGAGAACGCTGCCTCTTTAGTCGCAAAGTTCTTCCCAGATGTGGTAGCAAAGTGGGGAGAGGACGGCTTGATCCAAATTCTAGAGGACAGTAGCATCCATGCAGTTGCGATTGTTCTCCCAGCGCAAGTCCAGGTTTTTAAACTCTACTCGATCTCTTTGGTCCTCATTCTTCTCTTTTGTTCTTCTCGCCTTTTCCACAGCTGGAGTATGTCCAGAGAGCTCTCAAGTCGGGTAAACATGTTCTTCAAGGTACTAGCGTTTTTTTTTTCTCTCTTGCTACTCTTTCTAGCGCTGATCGTGATTGAAATATGCGAAATCGACATCAAAGAGAAGCCCATTGGACCCAGTACGTGATTATAATGTTGTTTGTGAGAAACACTCGTAACTCCATTATTCTTTGTACATGCAGCTCTCTCGGATGTGCGTGACGTTTTATCGTATCACAGTGGCATGGGCTCGCAAGCTCCGGTTTGGGCTGTTGCTGAAAACTATCGCTTTGAACCCGGTTTGATCGAGGTATAAGTTCTTTCCTACTCTCTTCTTTCTGTCCTTTAATTTTTCCTATTTTTTCCTTTTTCTTTTTTCTCTTTTTCAGGCTGCGAGGCTAGTCAAGAGCATTGGCGACATGATGTCTTTTGAAGTCATAGTAGAGCTGCCGATGAACAGCTCCAACCCATACTATTCGAGTGCCTGGCGACGAGATGTTGGTTTCAAGGCATGGAGTTTTTCCTCTTTCATTTCTTTAGAAGTAGCTCAAACTTTCACTTGGCAGGGTGGCTTTGTTCTCGACGGTGGCGTTCATTTTGTTGCGGGGCTGCGCCTGGTAACATCTTTCTATTTCCTTTTGAACTTTGGCTGCTAAAACTCTCCCATATAGATCACAGGTTGTGAAGTGACTCAAGTATCAGCGATTGCTCGCCACGTTGATCCACTGCTGCCTTCCCCGGACAACGTATCTGCTCTACTGTACGCCTGTTTTTCTTAAAGTTCGCTCATCTTGAATCACTCTCTCTGTTTTTTTTTTTTTTTCTTTGCAGGCAGCTCGAGAATGAGTGTGCTGGTGTTCTTGTTATGTCATACTCTTGCACAGCGAGAAAGGTAAATATTCTTTTAGAGCAATGCTGAGATTCTTGGTCTTTTTACTACCCAAAGGTAAGCTGGCGAGTTTTGGGATCCAAAGGAACTGTAGAAGCTGTTCGTGATCAGAAAGATGGCAGTCATGGTTACCTGGTTGGTTTTCATTTCCTTCTTCCAAGGGTCTTGCGTGTTTCAAAATTCACGAGCAAACTCTCTTGTTTCGCAGGTAACATTCTATCCTCTGGGAGGAACCGTGCTTAGCAAGTTCTTTCCGTTTTCTGGAGTGGAGAACGAACTTAAGGCGTTCGTAGGAGACGTGTCCCAGATTGTTTATGAGGTAAATGGTTAAGTTTCTCAAGCTTTCTAAGTTTGCAGCTGGTGTTTTTTACCAGGGAAAAACTGCGGAGGATGCTGATAAACGCAGCAATGTTATTGAAGCTTATCACGACGTTGCTGTGATTGAGGCCATGCTCAAATCGAGCAACAACAAAGGATTTCCAGTCCACGTTGATAGATACGAGAAGGAGATATGAAATGCTCTTCATTTTTCTTTCCAAAGGGTACACAGATCGAGTGAAAAAATCACACTAGAATATAAAATCATCACTCACGCTTGTGCTTGAGGCCGCCACCATTGCTTTTGAAGAACTAGTAGCTCCTCCAGGCCTTTGGTATGCGTGGTGTGAACTTTCCAATGTAAGGATTCCATCAATGGCTTGAGCTTCCCCAGGTTTTCCACCTTGTCGCGAAATATGACGTAGCTTTCTGGTCTTAAAATCCTATCCATCTCCACAAGCGTATTTGTGGTATTGCACCTGGAAAATAAAACAATCAAAGCTTGTTAACTGCAGGAAAAGGAGAACAAACCTTTTCGTAAGTCGCGTTAGCAAGTGATCAGCATGGATCAAATCGTACGTTCGTGGATATGTGCTGAAGGATTCACACCAGTCGTGGTAGATTCCAAACAAGCCCCGATCGAAAATCGCAGGCAGAGTGTCCGGTTCGTATATAGGCACGACGTTCATCACCCAAACTGGCTGCGACGCCAAGGCTGCAGCAAAACTGGAAGAAACAGTGACACACAAAAGCCAGAGTAAGAATGAGAGCGCAAAAAGCGAAAAAAAAAGAAAGAAACTTACCCTCCATATGCGGCTTTCATATCCAGAACGTTGCGTATGTTCTTCCAGTCGAAATTCATCTTGAGGTACGAATTTTGCATCACGTTCTTCCAATGCTGAGTGTCGGACTTAAACTCCTCGTCACCAGCCTTGCCATAAAGGCCTTTGGAGACACGAGTGAGCCAAGTTGGAGGCGTGAGCAAACGCTGTGGCCAATCCTCAGGCCAGCTCGTTCCATGCTCCTCTTCCGTGACAGGCACCTTGTGAATGCAGCTTTTCATAGGAATGTACCTGTCATGCTGCTGTTAGCACACGAAAATCTTCTATAGTTTTCTGGAACTTTTACCATGCGGCATCACGCTTATCTTCTTCCTCACAAAGTGGGGGAAGTTTCGCTCTTCTTCTCTCGTAGCACAAGTTGTTGGTGGGCTTTTGAAATATTGCAACGCCCACAGCACTGGCAGCGTCTGTAGTTTTTGCTAGATTGTTCCAGCACATTGATGCCGCTAGGGACGATGTATCTGAAAAAGAATAGTACTTTGCTCGGTGACAAACAGAACAGCAAGGCAAACATTAAATGGCATACTCTTCCAGATCTGAACTTGATCCGGCTGTGTACGGTAAACCGGAGGGGCAGACCACACAAAGTAACCGCCAGGCCTGAGCACCCGATTAACTTCGAGAAGCAGCTTTCCTCCTGACAAGTACTAGTTAGAAGCCATTAAAAGTAAAAGGCGAACTTACCATCTTCATGCCATGGCACTCTACACCGAGCACAATGAACCATGTCAAAGACATTGGCTGGAAAAACCAGCCGCTGCGTTCCCATCACAGCCGAGATGGCAGGAATCCCTCGTTCCAGAGCTAGCTGAACCTGTGCTTCGTGCTCGTCTTTCGGTGCAAAAGACATTGTCAACACGTCCTTGCGAAACAAGTAGCCACCAAAACTCGCAACGCCGCAGCCAACGTCTAGAACCACACGCGTGTGCTTTCCCCACTCAATATCCGGCAACGTCTGCGGTCTCAGTTAGCGAAAGAAAAAAAAATCCACATTTTTCACCAGATATCTAAAGGACCAACTTACATTCTGAATGTAGTCGATGTAGTGATCGGCTCCAAGAATAAACTGAGTGCCAGTCCCAGGAAATGTGAGCCGGTTTCCAGTTTTCTTGACCCAGCTCTGGTCTTTCTTGTACGTGACGAGTCCCGGATGGGGGACGTTGTCGAACCATATCTGGAAGCTACACGGACTGAAAACTTCAATGGCAACAAGAACAGAAAAGAAGAAAGAATGAACCAACCTCTTCCCGGCTTTGAGGCCAAGGCAGCGGCCTTTTGTAGTTCTTTGGAAGCGGTACGAGACAACTGACGAGATCTTCGTGCACAGGGCAGTGCCTCTCCCGGTGCTCGTAATGGTGTCTACTTGGTAGCATCTTGATAGCTTCTTCGTTGTCTAGGCAGGGAATGTAGTCTTGCGCAGCGTTTCCAGCGCAAAGTTTCCATACACTATCACTATCACTCGGGCTGGAGGAAGTTTTCTCCTCTTGCAAACTCTGAGAGTCGCCATCGATCTCCTTTCCATCATCCAGTGCCTTGTTATCTTCACTTTCCTTGGAAGATCTTTCCTCTTCCTTTGCCACACCACTGGAAGATCTTTCGCCATCCTCATTTTCATCTTCATCGTTTTGTGCCAGCTGATTTTCCTGCTCCTTTCTCTCCACTTTCTCATCCATTCCTCCAATCTTGTCATTCTCGTCTCCAATCTCTTCTCTGGCATCGCTCTGCCGCAATGCAGCTCCAGATCCTACCACATCCTGCTCGACCAGACCAGATCTTCCCCGGAAAATCCACACGGCCACCACGAAAAAAGCCACGAGAATGCCGATCACAAGCCTGGGAGAATGCGTGGCGAATCGCTTCGGCCTGGCCATCCCAGAAATCTCCCGGATCTAGCAGCTAGGCAAGAACCCTAATCACTACCTGGAACAGTCACTGACGCCGATCATCGAGCGCGGCACGACTGATGGATCGCATTGATCCGAGAGATCGCTCGGATTCCTGGAATGGATCGATCGCTGAAAGACAGAGGAACGAATCCAGCGCAAAATCTACCCGAAATCTCAGCTAAAGTAAGAAAAGGGGGAAAAGTTGGAAAAGTAAAAAACGTTAAGTACACTTAATGATTAATGTAGGTACACTAAACCTTAATAGAGAGGAATATGCTCCTGCGTCTACGAGCATATTCCCTGGCGCGGCCTATTTCGGCAAAGAGGACAGGACGCATTCAAGGAGAGCCACATTCGAATGCAGCGCGAGTGAAAGCAGTGCGAACATCCGCGAAACATTCTCCTCGACGATTCCTTCCCGCCGCCGCCAGGATTCTCCTCGAATCCTCCCAGGCAGATCGTGCAAGCCTCGTTGATCGAAGACGGAGGAAAAGATCGCCCACCAATCCTCTCCATCTTGTGAACAAAGCCACTCATCTGGTGATCAGCTCGATCTTCTCCTCGTTCTCCTTGCTCTTCTTCCTCTTCTTCCTCTTCTTCTTGGAGGAAGACCTTGAGCGCTTCCTCTCCAGGAGAATGATCGTGATCTTGGTGATCAAGCGATCCTGCTACATCATCAAAACCACCCTCGACGTGGGCGTCGTGATCATCATCGTGGAGAATGCGATCCAGCGCGGCGAAGCTGAGTAGCGTGTACACCATCAGCAGCAATCCCAGCACCGCCACCGCGATCTGGAGCGCAATGTAGCCTTCCAGAAACGCGAGCGACCCCATCGCCAGGGAGAAACACACGGCGCTCGCGATCAAATCCCGAATCACCCCCACTACAAGCATGATCTCTCTCGGCTCTTCTATAGAGGCCCACAGAAACGAGAAAAAAAAGCAAACCACACTCAGTGAGACAGAAAGCAAAGCAAATGGTGTTCCTGGTGGCTATGGAGTCACTGTCCCGAGCATAGAAAACCATGAAGAAATCAAAGAGAAGGAAGAGGCAGTCACCAACCAGAGGGGAGATGGGCTTGACCTATTCATTGCGAAATCGGCGACTCTGGATAGAGATTATCCCTCTTTTCTTCGCCAGGAAGTGAAATATCGCTGCGCAGGGCAATGAGCAAATCTCAAATAGCTACGATTCGCACTGACCATGAGACACACAATACACTGTACCTTACAGGTGTACTGTACGCTTTTTCTTTTTCTTTTTCTTTTTTCAGCACGAAAACTCTAGAGGCATCTAGAGAATATACTTGTCAATGAGCCGTTGACTATAATGACATGACTGACCGTTTACTATAATGTCAACGGACAAGATATTTCTATTCGAGATTTGCGAGCGCGAAAGCAACATTGACAAGAGACCGATATTCAAAACTAAGCTATTCACAGCGAGGGAGATAAGTCAAGGGTGGCGGCGCGACTAGTCCATGGCGGGGCCATTCTTCTCGGCCATTTGGAGGTGTTGGCGGCTCTCGGGCGCCTCCGGGTCGGCGGCGCCGCCGGCGGGCTTGACGAACTCGGTGTCATCGGCGGGGACGATCCTCTTCCAGAACCAGTGGCTCCTCCACACCAGCATCATCTCCTCGATCGGGACGTTCTTGGTCTCGGGCACGAAGAAGTAGACGAAGATGGTCATGATGAGCACCCATCCCGCGAAGAAGAGGAACACGCCGAACTTGAAGGTACACAGCATCTTGAGGAAGGCCTGCGCGATGACGAAGGTGAAGAGCATGTTTACCGAGACCGTGATGCTCTGCCCGGCCGATCGCGTCTCCAGGGGATAGATCTCGCTGGGGATGAGCCAGCCGAGAGGACCCCACGACCACGCGAAGGCCGAGACGTAGATGCAGATGAGCACCACCACGAACGCCGCCCAGCCCTTCGGGATGTTGCTGCTCGACGAGAACTTCACTCCCAAGACGATCCCAATCACGATCTGGAAGCCAAGCGATCGATCAAACACAGGAAACACGCGGGAATAAAAAATAACCAACCTGCGAGAAGAACATCTGGACGCCACCCTCGAGCAGCAGCAGCCTCCGCCCGTACTTATCCACAGTGATGATCGAGATGAAAGTGGAGACGAGGTTGACAGCGCCGGTGATCACGGCCGAGTAGAGCGACGCGTCGTGTCCAAACCCGATGGTCTCGAACAGCACCGGCGCGTAGAACATGATCACGTTGATCCCGGTCAGCTGCTGGAAGAAGGGGATCAGGATCGACATGACGAGCTGCGGCCGGTTCTTGCTCATCAAGAGATTCTTGTATGGATGCTTCACCATGTTGGCTTTCTGGCTTGCCTCCACGATATCTTCATACTCGACATCCACCTTCTCGGTTCCACGGACTTTCTGGAGGACTTTTCTTCCTCGGTCGTGGCGCCCGCGCTCAATCAGGCTGTTCGGAGTGTCCGGGAGGAAGAATCCTCCCAGAGTCATAAAAACTGCTGGGACTCCGGCGAGAGCGAGCGAGAGCCTCCATCCCCAGGGAGTGATTTTGGCGGTTCCATAGTTGATGAGATTGGCGCAGAGGATTCCTATTGTTATAGCGAGCTGGAACATGATGTTCATGGCTCCCCGGATCTTGGCGGGCGCGAGCTCGGAGAGATAGAGAGGAACAGCCTGCACGAAAAAAATAAATTCAAGTTTTTGCAACATAAAAAAGAGATCTCTGGCAAGATCTTAAGCTGACAAGATGGAGCTTACCTGGTTTCCAAATCCAACTCCAATACCGAGCATGATTCGCCCGAGGATGAGCATCTCGATGTTCTCGGCGGCTCCAGTGAGCACGGCCCCGACTAGAAAGCTGAGACCACCGAGCAAGATGGAGGGTCTTCGTCCATAGCGCTTGGTCACCCACGCCGCCACGAACGAGGCGATGAGCGCCGCCAGGTAGAGCGAGGACGTGAAAGTGGTGAGCCCCTGGTTGTCATACTTGCAGTAGTGAGCATTGCCGCTCACCGGCTTTTGCTTGTTGCGATAGACCACGGGGAAGAATTTCTCCAGGAAATCGTCCATGGAGGTAACACCCCCTGTAGATAGACATCTCCATTTCAGCCAAGCGATCAAAGTTTCCAGACATTTTCTCCCCAAGATCTAAGTTTCAAGAAGAAAGAGAAGAAGAGCTCTGGAGGAGTCGAGCTTACCGGAGATTCCGATGTCATAGCCGAAGATGAGACCACCGCTAGCGGCGACGACGCAGGCGAGCACCACATAGATCGTTGTTCGTCCTTGGTACTGATCAGATCTACCGCCTTGCGAAGAGAGCAACGCTCCTCCCGCCATAGCTGCGCTCAAGGAACCACCAAAAAAACAGGAAGAGCGTCCTCGCTGAAAAGAAAGGCGTTCCCAAAGACTTTCAAGACATTAAATTCCTCTCTTATCAGCAAGCTTTGACGAGACTAATCTTTTTTCTTTTTTTTAGCCGCTATAATTTTTTGGAGCTGCGTGTGGACTTTTAGACGAAAACACCAGCTGGTGGAGCCAAATTACTTTGTACGTTTGCATTTTGTATGGTTGCCAACAGCCAGCCACCTTCTAACTACATTTTTTTGGGCTTATTTAAAGTCCTTAGCGTATGGCAATGGAGCGTTTGGCGAAGTTTCGTAATCGATATCAAGCTGGTCGGAGGAGAAAAAGGAGGAGAACGAGGCGGCGATGGAAAGCTTGATCTCTCTTTTTTTGCAAGCTTTACATCCATCGCCCATGATCTGCCTGGCTGGATTTCAAAACACGAACGCGGCTAGTCGCCAGCCTTATCCATCGAAAGATTTAAGATTTCACGCAAGTTTCACGAGTCTGCGCACGAGCACTGAAAATTTTGCAGGATGGTAACGAGCTCCAGGTGTCGAACCAGGTGTCGATCGAGTTGGCGTATACGCAAGAATTTACTACGCAGCTGTTACGATGAGATAAACACAACATAAGATACTCTGTCGTCCAAATTAAAATTAGTATGATTTTGAAGAAATTCTACAGATTATATGGCAACATCATTGACCTGGACATAAAGAAAGAGTTTTGGAAAGACCGGACCGCCCAAGTCAAGCAAGCTTGCGTTTGAAAGCATAGATTATAAACAGTGTATAATTAAGTTAGTTTCTAAACCATATAAATAAAAGGCAGGAAATAGTATTCTGGTTTCAGATTTGCAAACTTTACCGCAGGCATTGTGCAAGCCGCCAAAAGCATTTAACATTCTTTCCCCCGAGAGAGAGAGAGAGAGAGAGGTATAAGACAATGTTTAAAAAGTGTTGACAAGTCCACTGCTTCTGCGATATTCTATATACTTCCTTGACACGAAAGGCGAACCGCACATAATGGCCCTGCTGGCTATGGTAGCATTGCTCTTCTTTCTCGTAGCTCCACTCTTTTGGATCTTCAATCTCATCGTCGCCTCCCGCAAAGAAACTCCTGCTCAAGCTCTTCAAATTCCTCCGGGAAACTTGGGATGGCCGCTCATCGGAGAAACTTTCAGGTACGCTGTCCAATCCGGCTCTACTTTCTACGACGAGAGAGTTGCAAAGTATGGCGCCGTGTTTAAGACATCGCTCTTTGGCTCCAAGACTGTGGTTCTTCCAGCTCCGGAGGGCAATAGGCTCATCCTCATGAACGAGAACAAGCTCGTCAGTGTCTCGTATCCAAAGTCCGTGAGCGTTCTTCTGGGAGAGAATTCCCTCATTGCGCTGCGAGGTGACGAGCACCGGCGATCCAAAGCTCTGCTCATGACGTTTCTCCGGCCAGAGATGCTCCAAAAGTTCGTGGGTCGGGTGTGCAAGGTCGTCCACGACCATCTCCAGAAGTTCTGGAGCGGTGGCGACGAGGTGATCCGGGTGTATAATCTCATGAAGATGTTTACGTTCGCTCTGGCTTGCGACTTGCTCATGGGCCTCGACATTGGCGACGAGGAGATGGAGTTTCTGGCCAGAGATTTCGATACGCTGGTGCGAGGGCTCTTCCAGCTCCCCATCGACTTGCCTGGGACACAGTTTTGCAGAGCCAAAGCTGCGAGGAAGAAGCTCGATCAGTGCTTTGATCGCCACATACGAGAAAAGAGACGAGAGCTTGCGGGAAGTTTTCGTGCTAGATCTCATGAGCAGGATATGTTGGAGGTATTGCTCACGACCAGGGATGAGAATGGAGAGTTCAGCACGGACTTGGCAATCAAGGACAACATTGTTTCGTTGCTCTTTGCGGGGCACGATACTTCGAGCGTCGCTCTTACCTGGACATTGAAGTTCCTGGCGGATTCTCCCTCTTGCATGGACAAAGTTGTGCAAGGTTTTCGTATCAATCCCTGCGCCTCTCGATCCGATCAGTTTGGCTGACATGAATTGGTTGTTGTTGTTCTTGGCAGAAAACTTGGCGGTTCGAAGCTCGCGAAGTTCTTCAGAGCTTTCGTGGGAGGATTTGAGGAAGCTAAAGTATACATGGCAAGTGGTCCAGGAATCCATGAGGATGAGGCCTCCTGTTGGCGGTGGCTTCCGCGAGGCTCTCGTCGATTTGGAGTTTGATGGATATGTCGTTCCCAAGGGATGGAAGGCAAGTTCTTGGCAAAGTTTTTGGAGATCTTACACTGAAATTATCTTGCACAGCTCAATTGGACCACTGCTACCTCATACAGGAAACCAGAGTTTTTCGTGGAGCCAAACAAGTTTGATCCATCTCGCTTTGATGGAGGGAATGGAATTGCTCCATACACTTTCCTCCCGTTTGGGGCAGGCGCAAGGATGTGCCCGGGCTCTGAGTTTGCAAAGATGGAAATCCTCGTCTTCCTGCACTATTGTGTTCTCCAGTTCGATTGGAAGCTCCTGGAACCCAACGAACAGGTGATCATCGATCCAATGCCTCGCCCTGTTCATGGAATGCCTGTAAGAATCTCTAAAAGAAATTAAAACTTTAAATTGTGTTTTCTATAAATTATAAAGATAACATAAGAAAAAAGATAAAGATGATGAACACAATAGTAATAATGAAACCAGATTTCATACGTTATGTACACTGTGTTATTTGACATCAGACTGGAAATAACTATTTGTTGACCCTGAGCTACACTTTCATTCGTTCATCCAGTCCCAGTTGGCTGGGCGATAATTTAACGGCGTGGAGCCCTCGGCGTCTCTAGCTTGAAGGTCTGCCCCTTTGCTTATCAAAAACTTGGCAACCATCTCCTGTTCGCAAACACAGGCATAGTGTAGCGCGGTCTGGCCTTCCTTGTCCTGAAAAAGAGAAAGGAAACAAAGGCCAAAAAAAAAAAAAACACCATTTTTTCCACGTAAGAGACAGATTCCATACAAATATCTGTACCTTGGCTTGAAGTTTTGCTCCTCTGGAAAGCAGCAATTCCACAAGTCCCAAGTGTCCACGGTCAGATGCCCAGTGAAGGGCCGTGCGGCCATCGCTGTCTGGAAAATTCTTCTGAAGTTAAAAGAGGCGCCGTGTAGGAAAAATTCCATCCTACCTTGGACGTCCACCGGGACGCCTTGACTTAAAAGTTCCAAGAGACCAGGCTCGTTGCCTTCCCGAGCAGCAATGTGTAGGGCATCCAGCGATCTACAAAGACAAACGAACTTAAAACAAACCATCGCCTTTCTTAATCGACGGGGGGAAGCGATATGCAAAGTGGACTTACCCGTCGTCACTCCTTTCATCGTACGCTAGTGTGCTAAAGACAGGCCCAACAGGACCTTTCTTTTGTTTGCTTCCAGACGTTCCTTCTTTGCCCTTGCTCTGAGAAAAAGTATAATGCTCATTTGAAGTTCTTAAAAGCCAAAGACTTACTTTCTGATTGCTCGCCCAATCCGGACTTAGTTCTGAAACAAGCTCCACGTATCGTTCCATAGCCTCCTCTTGGCTAATATTCCCCAATTTCTGCCAGGCATTCCTTCAAAACAATCTCCCATCAGTGCTAAAAACAAAAAAGAGACATTTTTGCGAAGATCCATACCATTTTGCGCGAGCAGTCATCTTCAGTGCCGATGGCTGCACAGTATGACACGGACCCTCCGTCGCCACCTTGTAGAGTCCATACAGTTGGAGTTGAGTTTCACTGGAAACCTTCAAACCGCCAGCTTGAGTTGCTATGAAGCTCGACGCAGCTCCAAAAGCTTCATCCAACTCCGTGCTCTCCACGCCCTCCCAATCGGAGGAACCGTCATCATCCTCGTCCATCGCCATGGCCGAGATCGATCTGTTGGAGCCAGCTTCCGCCTCCACGGAAGAGCTCGTAGATGGTTCGTAGCCAGCTTCCATTGTCGCCAAGCTCTGATGTCCTGTGATCGCCTCCTGTTCTACGACCTCGTCCTTTTTGATAATCGGCGCTGGCGATCCAACTCCAGCGCCGGAAGCCTCATCGAGCCCACCACCCTCGCTCACTTCTGAGAAATCCGCCCTGCCTTCGCTCAATCCAGATATGTCTGCCCTGTCACCCTCGGAATCCACAGAATGTATGCTCTCTTCCTTCTCATCTGAAGAGCTGGAAGCACCTCTTTCTTCCTTTCTCTCTTGAGCTTCTTCGCTTGGAGACAAACGCTCCACCCTCATATTCCCGGCCCTCATCGAGCTCCTGATAGCCATAAACATCGATAGAAGCTTGGAGAGCATAAACGCGAAGACGATAGCTACAAACACTGTCTGCGCGAGCTCCTGCAAATCGGCCTGGCGCGCCATTTCCCTGATGCCTCCCCAGCTCCACATACCTCCAAAACCCTAATCCTAGAACCTGTGAATCACGGAGAGCTGTGGAAGACGCGAAGAGGCGCGCTCCGCCAATGGATCCTTTTCACTCGCTCGCTCGCAAACCCAAACCCTAGGCCCCGTTTGAATCGAATTCCTCCTTTTGCGCTTTAACCCCTGCCCTTTTAGGTGAAGTTTGTTCGAGGGAAGGTATATGCTTTCCACAGATCCTTGCCATGATTTGAAGGGTCCAATCAACTGATTCACGCAGATGCTCGGTAAAAGCAGGGAGTTAACAAGCTTATTTACCACAGGGAAGAGCCCAGCGCCGATCGAATCCTCTCAGCTACTGTACCGTGGGTGTGACCTAAATTTTGTAATCCCTAGCTCCAAGGTATGGCGAGTGCGGCAGTGGACAAGACGGTGGACGAGCTGCGGCACGAAATTGCGGAGCTCTACCGGCAGAATCGAGAGGTAATTCCGGTGTCGCGGCGCTGGCGCCAGGATTGAGCGCCTGGATTTTGATTTCTCAGATAAATGAGAGGCTAAACAATCCAAGAGGAAGGCGGCTTGGAAGGGGTGGATTTTCGAGAGCTGTAGGCGGGCGAGGGGGCGGTCGAGGAGGAAGAACCAGAAAGGTACGAGAAATTCCTGTTAGGTCACGCGTTCTCAGCCTGTCTTTCTGTTCAGGCTGATGGTGATTTGGAAGGTCCTCCAACGAAGAGACTACATTCTGTTGTTAAGGTACGGTGGTGCTACAAGAGAAAAAAATTTCTCATGGTTTTCTTTCAAAAGGTTAATGGTGATTCGGTCGAAGCTCATACAAAAGAAACTGGCACGTCTTCCCCCCGTGGACGAAGAAGAGAGCCCTTTCTTACAGTAAGAACCGGCATAGTTCTCTAATCCTCTCATACTATCTTTCTTTTTCTTCAGGGGCAGGCGCAAGAATTTAGAACCGAGCCAGTTCCCAAAACTGTTTCGAAAGTGGACGACCCCAAACTTGCAAAGCGAAACAGGAGAATGTTTGGCGCTCTTCTGGGAACTTTAGAGGTATACTTTTGCATGGATGGCTATCTTTCTTGAATGCTTACTAGGTCCTTTGTTGTGTTTCTGGTCCAGGTTGGGGTTTCATTGCAGTTCGGAGAACGTTGTCGTTATGTTTCCTGTCTCATGCTTGCCTGTTATTTAAGCTTTCTCTTAGGAATGTGTTCTTTTATCTTTTTTCACTCAGAGAGCGATTCTCAACTAGTTGCTGCGTTCTTCTGTGTAGAAATTCAGAAAGGAAGAGATGTCAAACTCGGAATCAGTGATGCGGAGGTCGGACTCTCTCAAAAGAGTAAGCGTCTTTGTTTTTACTTCGGTGCCGATTGACAAAAGTACGTATGGAATGCAGGCTGTACAAAAGGCTCAAGAAGAAAGCGATAAGTTGCGACAAGAGGAGCGGGAGCACCTAACGGAAAGGCGAAAACGTGATTTGGTAAGGGACGTTGTTTTTTGCATCTCTGATGCGAGGCCTTTTTCCATGCAGATGCTTCGAGCTAAAATCTCTGCCAAGGCGGAAGAAAAGCAAATCGAGCTGCTGTACATGCAATGGACAGCACACCAGAGCAAAGTTAGTTCGTTCCTAAAGTGAGTTCGTTCGTTTCTGCCAGTGAACGAGCGATTGACTGTTCATTTTATCTCAGGACAAAAGCAGAACCAGGAATACATTATCTTCCAGTAAAGCAAACAGAGCGTGACAAACACCAACTGGAGGAGCAACGAAAGGTATATCATCTAAAGTTTCGGGTAGACGTGACGTTTCCTCTCAGGCTTTCGAAGAATGGAAGGTAAAGTGCCGGGAAGAGCTGGACGAGTACCAGAAGCAAATAACCGAGACGTTTCTGGCCAAAGCTCAGGCAGACATTGATAGAGTCGTGGCTGCTCGAAACAGGAAGAGGATCCAATTCGAGGGCGGTGACAAAGAGCTGGAAGAAGAAGCCGCCGGTGGCAATCTAGGCGAGCAAATCGATAACGAGAACGAAGAGCTCCAGGACGAACAGGGCCAAGAGGAAGAAGTGGCGGACGTGATGGAAGAAGAGGATTATAGGCCGGAAGATGATACAACGCTCCCGGAAGGAAAATCTAGCTGAAAAGATTTAAACAGAGTATATCCCACTTGTGAGAATAGAAAGATGCGGATTCTTGAGTATATTCGTATGTGTACGGGATTGAGTAGAGGGAGTACGGCCACTTTGGACTGATTTTAAATCTTTAGCGCTCCCGCGCCTCTTTGCTAGGGTTCTAATGTGTGACGATGGGATTGTGAGCGCTCCGGCCGCGAGGTATAAAGAATTCCGGAAAGATCTTTGATAATCCCATCCACGCAAAGGTCGTGTGTGTGCTTGCTCGATCAGGTTAGCGACCGGAAAAGGATGATATCAGAGGCTGCGATCGTGTTTGGGAGCTGGATTGGGGGCCAGGCATGGCGCCGCCACTTCATCTGGGCCTTGCTGGTGTTCTGTATCACTTTCATTTTCACGATTATCGCCTTCGTCGGCGCCAGGCCGTGCTACACCGATTGCCGCAAGGGGGGAATGCTGCCAGATAATCGATCGATCGCGGCGAGCGCTGGCCACGGGCGGCTGCTCACAGTCAAGGGATCGGAGATTTTTGAGGTAATCGTGCTAGTCTCTTTCTCTCCATTGTCGATCGATCTTGAAACATTTCGGTGGCCAGAGCGGGTTTTGGTCGCTGGGGAGGCAAGAGCGGCTCAAACGCGCCAAGATTGCGATCGAGAATCTTCATCTCCAGGATGAGCTCGACGATCTTCACGACGATGGGGTCTTGTATCGTAACATCTCGCGATTCAAGAGGTATGATTTACCGATCAAACGTGATTTTTTTATATCTTTTTTACTCCAGGAGTTACGAAGCAATGCAACGGGTATTCAGGATCTTTGTCTACAAGGACGGTTACAAGCCATTGATGCACGAAGGCCCCAAGACTGGAATTTACGCGTCCGAAGGGCTCTTCATCGCTACCATGGAACGAGGGAATCCCTTCGCCGTGACCGAACCAAAGATCGCAACGATGTTCTTTATCCCTTTCAGCCTCAAGCAAATGGTGGACTACATGTATGACACGAACAGTCACAGCATGAAGAACATCCAGAGCTACATCGCCGGGTACTTGAGGAGGCTGGCATCGAAGTATCCTTACATGAACGCCACAAACGGGATCGATCACTTTTTTGTCTCTTGCCACGACTGGGTAAGTTTGTTTCTTTGCTTTTCATCTTGTATACTTATGGTTTCTACTCTAGGCTCTTATGGCACTGGAAAAGCAGGACTGCCAGAGAAACATCGTCAAGGTTGTCTGCAATGCCGATTCATCTCGAGGCTTCAACACATCCAGAGACGTTTCGTTGCCGGAGACACGAGTTCGACAGGGAAAACACTCGCCGATCATCAGAGACATTTCGGGAATGGACAGGCCTTACTTGGCGTTCTTCGCGGGCCAAATGCACGGCAAGCTGCGGCCAGTTCTCCTCGCCCACTGGAAAGACAAGGATCCGGAGATGAAAATCTACGAGGTTCTTCCACCGTCTGTGGCGGAGCGAATCTCTTACAGCGAACACATGAGGCTGAGCAAGTACTGCATCTGCGCCGCCGGATTCGAAGTCAACAGCCCGAGGCTGGTGGAAGCGATCGTGAACGAGTGCGTGCCGGTGATCTTGGCGGACAACTTCGTGCTACCTTTCAGCGAAGTCATCAACTGGGACAGCATCTCGGTGACGGTGGCGGAGAAGGATGTGGCAAACTTGAAAGCCATCCTGGCGGGGATCCCTCTGCGGAGGTACAAGGAAATGCAGGCACGGCTCAAGCACGTCAAGCGCCACTTCGTGTGGAAGAACAGCCCCGAGAAGTATGACATCTTCAACATGATCGTCCATTCGCTGTGGACGCAGCAACTCAACAACGTTTAGAAGATCTTCGATCCAATGCGTGAGTTGACAAGGCAAGTTCTTGAAATCTCTTTAATCTCTCTCATTCTCTCCTTTTCTTACAAAACTCTAGGATTGGGATAAAAAATTTGTACTGTGACTACTTACAAGTGGAGTTTATAAGCTACACGAGTATGAAACGTGTAATTCTTCTTAAAGGTCAGTCCAGAAAGAGAAGATTAGGGTTTATAGCGATGGTCTTCTTCGATCGTGATGCGCACGTCCAGTTCTTTGCAGGATTTCTCGTCCGCGGCCTGTCGGCGGACTACCTTGGGCAGGAATGCAACACGCTCTCGTTAGCCTACTTCGCGATCTCGGCTCTCGACATCCTCAATGCCCTGAATCAGGTATTTGTCTCGGATCGCGAGCGCGAGCGCTTAGCATTGCTCTTTCCCTGCCGTAATATCAGATTCCGACTGGCGAGATCGTGGATTGGGTGTATAGTTTGCAAGTTTTGCCGCTCAAGGAGCTCGACGAGTACGCGGAGAAAGGTCTGGAACAGTAGTTGTGAGCGCTGGAATTTTGATCGCCGTGTGGATCCAGATTTGAGGTTTGGATTTCTTGGATCACGCTCGACTTATGTGTCTCGTGATGTGCGTTTGCTCTTCCTCTTTTTGATTTCTCTTTCCTTACCTTGATTTTCTATTCTTTCATTCAGGGCGTGGAGTCCTCATACGATGGTGGTCACCTGGCCATGACTTACTCGGCTTTGGCGATTTTGAAGATACTTGGAGACGACTACTCTCGAGTCTCTAGAAATGCCATTGTTCGTTCCATGCAATCGCTACAGCAACCGGATGGATGGTAGTACCGAATTCTCTTGAAGAACTAATTGTTTCTTCCTTTTTCTTGGCAGCTTCACTCCTGTTCATCTGGGTGCTGAAAGGGATTCGCGTTTCCTCTTCTGCGCAGGTGAGCAAAGCAATGTTATGCTTGTGAGTATAAGCTTTGCACTGATGTCGTTCCTTTCTAGCTGCCATTTGCACTTTCCTTCAAGATTGGAGTGGCATGGACGTACCGCTGGCCTGTGACTACATAGCCAAATGTCAGGTTGTTTTGCGATGGATGCTGACGACTTAGCTAACTTATTTTTTTGTTTTCAGTCATATGATGGTGGTTTTGGATTGTGCCCGGGTTTAGAGGCTCATGGTGAGGATTTCTTGAACATTTACGCGTGATATTTTCTTTTTCTTTCTGTGGCTGAAGGAGGTGCTACCTACTGTGCGGTTGCAGCTCTCAAGCTTATTGGACAGTCTGCTGAAAAGGGAATAACAGGCATAGACTTCCCGCTTCTGACCAGTTGGTTATTACAGGTAAAGTAGCCACGGCTTGATTGTTGAGTAGATTTTCTGAATCCTTTCCATCTTCAACTAGCGACAAGCAGTTACCGGAGGCTTTCAAGGAAGAATCAACAAAGCACCAGACACATGCTACGCTTTCTGGTAGGAATTTCCGCCACTTCGAAGCACGTTTTGATGACTTTTTCTTACAGGGTCGGGGCTAGCCTTGTTTTTCTAGGAGCCTACAAACTTTGTGACCGAGAAGCTCTACGATTGTCTTTGCTTAGTTGCCAAAACAAGGTGAAGAACGAATAGCTTGCTTTTTTCTCAGTCTGACACTTACTTCTGGCAGAAAGGTGGATTTAGCAAGTATCCCGATGACGATGTGGATATGCTACATTCCTACTACGGTGTCTGTGGCTTCAGCCTTCTCAACGAGCCTGGGCTTGAGAGTCTATGCTGTGAGCTAGGCATTTCCGCTCGTGCTGCCGGTGATTTCGACATGGGTTCTGACACGGTGAAGTTTTCATATCTCGAAGAAGAAACTCCCGACTAACGCCATTCAAACTATGGTAAGTTTGAAGTAATATGCTTTCCCCTGGTGACTGATCCTGAAAATTGTGTGTGTGACGCAGAGGTGGTCAATATGCTTGGAACCAGTTGATCGCAAAACGCGGCTGGAAAATTATGCTGGCTGTTTGGTCTCGGGTTTGTCTCATCTTGTCCTTCCTCTGTTCTTGCGGCTTGTTCTACCGAATTCTTCTCCCGCATACTCTTAACAGCTTGTGACAGTCGATATTTGGCTACCTCCATGTCCACAATTGGTTTCGGGTAATTGGTTCCTAGCTCGACACCAGCTGCTTGCAATCTACTTACAGGTGCACTATATGGATGGTGAATCCACTGGTTTGGGAGCCTGCTGAGTTCTGGAAGCCATCTCCGAACGTACTCCCCTTTGGGGTCAAGCTTACATCCTTCCTCCTGCAGCCGCAGAGATATAAATTTCAGCGCTACACTTCCGTGCTACTTACGTGAGGATCGAGTACACGGTCTAGTTCGTGGCCATCGGTCAAGCAACCGGAAACGTACTTCCAGCCGAGTATATCGCTCTCTAAATCGGCATCGAGCAAAGTGTCCCAGAAGTATTTTATCCCCCAGGTCCAAGGGAGCTGCAAAAACTTTATCAGGAAGCTGGATGTTACCACTCGAAGTTTGCAGTGCAGCCATCCTGTCGACCATAGCTCGCGCATAGCTGCATCCACCAACGGGTAACCAGTTTTTCCGAGCTTCCAAGCCTTGAAATGGATCTCATCGTTTCTCCAGGGGAAGTTTTTCAGCAGGGATTGCTCCTGAGTGAACGGGAAATGGAAGCTGATATATCTGGAGTACTCCCTCAGGCCTATAGCTCGAAGAAAGAGATGTGCGTTCCGACGGGGACAGAACAGCTGCTCTTCGTCTCTCTGTTTGGACCGTATGCAATTGTAGAGTTTCCGGATGCTGAGCTCTCCAAAGTGCAAGTATGGAGAAAGGTGTGAGGTGGAGTTGTCTGCCGTCTCTCTACTGGTGGTATAATCGTTAAGAGGGCCGACTAGGAAGGCTTGAAGAGCATCGTTTGCGTGTTTACACCCAGGGGACCATGTCCGCGCCAGCAACTCGTTACTACTTTTCTCGGACTCATCTTCAAGGCATAGCTCCTCTATACTACATGGAGTGGGGAGATTTCCTGCAAAACTTATGAGATCCAGGTATTCTGCTTTTTTCTTTTTTGTTGTGCTTACCCCGGTAAGGAAATAATCGTGCTTGTGATGAATCAGGCATGTCTGGCTCAAAACGCGTTCGCAAGAAGCGGTTCCAAAATCCTGCGAAAGTAGTAAATGCGTGGCCCTGTTCGTCGTATATCTCCCACGGTTCGTGCAAGGTGTCGCAGTTGAAGTTGTGTACAAAAATTCCATACTCCAGGAGTCTCTGCTTTACACGACGATCACGGGCCACAGTGATGGGATCTGCTTGCAATGCATCGAGTAAGTTCTACCACGCCGTAAGTTTTCCTAACTCTCTTACCGTACAGATGGTTGCAGAAGATCTGAGTTGATCCTGTAGCTCGAGCTATGTTTACCAGCACAGAGAGCGTGTCGTTCCCCTTTTGGAGGAGGAGCGAACAGCCGTAGCTTGCAAGCGATGCATCGAGGTGAATGAGGCTCTGCTTGAGCCACCATCTTGAGTGTCGGCCCGGTTGGAATTCACCCTCTTCTGCTGGACACCAGATGAAGATTGGAAGGACGACTCCCGGCGCGTTCGCCGCGGCGAGCAGCGCGGGATTATCTTCTACACGAAGGTCTCTTCGGAACCATACCAGGTTACATGCCTTAGAGTTTTCCATTCAGTCACTGAGTCTTCAATGCAGGACAAGCTCGAGCTTTCAATGGAAACATTTTGGAGCCGGGCGCCACACTAAACAGCGTAAGCATATACTTTCCATTCAAGTGCTTGCTTGTTGTCAATTGCAAGCTGGTCCTGGAGCTTAGTACCTTCGTGGCTTCTTTCTCAACAGCTATGTGCTTGATGGCCCTGCTCAACATTCTTATGTGGTGTCTCTTAGTTGCTGGCTTTGAATTGAGGAGAATGACACACGCTGTCTGGATTCCAGAAGTTAATGACAGGGTTTGGAGAGATCTTTCTGGTTGGCGTTGTCAATCTTTGCTGTATGTGGATAAGCTAAATCTCTGTCGCTGAAATCCAGGAATGTGAGCGCGTTGTCAGACTCAGCTTCCACCAACCAGTGTGGACAAGACGTTATGGTATCAGCTTATCCGAGTCCCATGTGAAATCTACCGCAGCTGATTCAATGCTGGGATCTTACAGCTAGCCATACTCCATGCTCTGGTACGACAGCTCTCAAAGGTCTTCGGAGTTATCTATCAAAACTCTTACTTGTTGGTGCAGGTCTCTTGTCAATTTTACAAGTAGCAGCCAAACAAGTGTACCGGGAGAAGATCCAGTCAATTTTTGGATTCGGCCGCAGCGACTCGTGTCTTGCTTGTTTCAGAGGTTTTGTCCAGTATTGACGGTGGCATATAGAGGACAAGGGCAAAAAATGTTAAGTTTTTGCTGACATGCATGGTTATCATGTAAGGCAACATTTCTTGAACATCTCGATAACTTTAGCTAACGAACTTTTGAGATAGCTATTTTGGGCAATCCTAGTTGCTCAAATGGATAAAGCTTTAACCATGTTTCAGCTGACATTGATCAATGTTGATCATTATAAGAAAAACTGAACTCTAAATCTCTTTCCTCGATATTCAAGCATAATTGACTATTATTATAGTACTAGATCGATAATTTCCAAGACTAAATGGTTCAATTGCTCTATGCATTTTCTTAAGTTTAGGAGAAAGTTTAAATAAATTGCTACACATTGCATGTAATAACGCTTAATTTTCTTATTACTTATTAATCCAATTGATCAAATAAAGTATATAACCATCAATGGCTTGGTAGAAGAAGCGGTCCAAGGACGTACCGGGCTGGATCTTACAATGGATCAGTTTTTGGCCATGGTTGGTGGTAGTCAATTTTCCTTATAAGCATGTTTGTAATTTATAAACACAAAATTAATCTTATTGCATATTAATTATTAGATGATAGAATAAAAAAGGATATATTAGAAAGGGTTTTTAAAATCTTATAAAATATAAATACAAAATTAATCTAACTGAATAACAACCATGAGATGGTAAAATATCCTAGAATATCAGTATATTCTAAGTATATTCACTACCAACCAAAAATTCTCTCCTAAGACTTTTTTTCTGCAGTTTTATTTATTATTATTTTATTTATAGTTATGAATAGAAAACTTAACTTATATATTTTATTATTTATGATAACTTTTTATTTTATTTTTAATAAGTTTAAAAAAGATGTAAATGTTTTTATATACAAGAAGGCCATACTAATATGGCACTTAGTTTCTTTAATAGGTCATTATTTATTTTAGCTGTCAGTCATGTATATATAACTAACATATATATATATATATATATATATATATATATATATATATATATATATATATATATACCATCCTTATTCTAGTAAATGAATTAATATTTAATAAATTAGAATTTATTATCATTAGTATATAGAAAGAAAATTGTGATGGCAATTTGGGGGAGGTATACCTGAAAAAAAAACACATGTGTATAAATTATTGAAAGACATATATGTGAATACAAATGTATAAGCATGCATTAGTGCCACCCAGATATGCATAGCAAAGTTTAGGTTAGTTCCACATATGCAATTTCTTACAAAATTTCAACTCTGTATTTACTTAAGATAGTTTCCTTGTTGAAGGTAATGGAAAGTGCTTTTCAAAGTTTTTGTAACTCAAGGTTTTGCACAATAAAACAAAACATAACAAAACAAATGTAACAAACCACTGGAATGCCAAAAACTTATGTGTGTGATTAGAAATGTGAAAATTCAATTCAACTAATGCTTTACTAAAATTATAGTATGATCCATTTGCTCATGGAAAAGCCACCATGTTCAATGCCTAGAAAAGACTCTGCAATCTCCTCCACACTACTCAAACAAATGAGAGGCACTTGCAAGACCAATCAAAACTACATTTGAAATATATCCCAGATCTGCAAGAAAACACAAAATGAGAGGCAAATGGAACAAATATAAAAGATGGTCACAATGAAGAAATCATAAATTTGAGCTCAATAACACAAGAATGAAACAAAAAAAAAATCCTCATTAGAATGTAATATCAGTCTTGAGTGGCAATTGAAGTGTTATGCTAATGCATATATGGATGACAAAAATATTATACATACAATCACAGTTCGATTGCTTATATAGCAATTTCAAAGTGATTGTCTGCATAATATTTTTGCATGTAACTCAAAGTTTGCATATGTGTAAATATAATAATGCATGCATGTGCAATCATATATTCATTAAACCAAAATTTGAAAAACCAATATCAATTTTTTATCATAGTTTTTGCTTACAATAAAAAGTATAGAGATACACTAAACTTTTTCATAATGACTATCAAGCCACATCTCATGTAATAATGCGAAATCCAATTGAAGAATATAAAATAATATTTATATATTTGATAAATATTATATTAGCATAGTGGGAATGAAATTTCAGAAATAGCATATTCTCAATTCGGAAAAAAATTAGTAACAAATATACATCCAGCTTTTTCCGCATCATCAACCTGTCAACGAGCTGTCTGTGGTTGTTGCCCTGCGTGTCCACCAGGAAGGACTCTTGTGGTAAGATCCTCCTTTTTTTTAAGTCAAACCAATGGGAGGAGATGCTTGGTGAGTGGAAATATGCCCATGCTTTTCCATGATCCCATGGAATCATTATACTGTATGTGCTTTTCTTTAACAAGAAAACTAGTGGGGCTGTGACGTCGTTCTTGAGGAATGAGGATTGCGTTTGGAATTCTTAATGTTTTTGATCGGTTACAGCTTGACCCTCTTGTAGCCCATTAAGGATGACAATGCGAAGGACGGCTATGGCCTTTCGGGTGTTCTAGAAACAGCAATCCTCTCTGGTGTCAGGGTTTGGGATCAGTGTCTCGAACTTTTCATGAACCTCTTTATTTTGGTGTTATGGGTAGAAGAAACCATTACAACTTGTGATTTATATCATGGTGGTGCTACTTTTTTAGCGCTGCAAAGTTTGACCAAGAGATCCATAGAAAAGTTTAATGTGGTAGCCCTGGATTCTGGCTGGCATGGTACTCCCACTTACTAGTTAACATTTTGGCATTCTATGTGTATTGATCATTGCATTGATTGAATCGAGCCCCACAAATACAGGTGATGTGTGTTGTCTATAATGTGATTCACCTTTTAAGTAACTCAAGTTTTCCTATGCTCTATTACAGATACGTCTTATAGTGACTCTCATCCAGGTGTTACAGCTTATATGTATATCCTCAATCATTCACCTCAAGAACATTTCATTATCAGTGTTATATCATAATGCTTCCTCACGCTTGACAACATTGGGCTCGGCTTGTTTTGTTCCGAATTAACCTTTTCTTTGTAGGGACACAGGACACCATATATTCGCACGAGGATCTATCAGCCAGGTCTGTTTTTGACTATTAAAATGAATAATGGCCAGCATTATCAGCCAAATTTTTACTAGAGGATCACATACTTTGGCATAGAAACGTACGGGGAGGAGACGCTTTGGATCGGAATCTCACTCGAGATAAAATCATGAAGAATTTCATTCGCTCTCTCTTCGCCCTCGCCCTGACAGCCAGGAATGAGTGTAAGAAAGATACCCCAATGAATTGTGTAGTAACAAGTGTACCACAAACTGGCGTGGCGGTGTATATGTCAAATCCAAAGTAGATTCGTTGCGAGAAATCCACACATCCTTTTTCTTTATAGAGCTACAGCATGCCCAACTGTTTAATTGGAACTGCTAGCACACACCTTCTTGACCTCTTCCCAAAGGCGGTAGCAGAGAGCCTTCCAAGTTCCGAGTATAAATATCAAGTGGCAGACTGTCCACAAATAAGTTTGTGAGGAGCAGAAGCTCACAAAGATCGTTGAGCTTCTACTCTTTTCTCACAAACAAAATGGAGTTGATGGCTGCTTTCAGACTAGCACTCGGCATCATAGGTTTGCCCTGCATAATCACCAGCTTCTAATGTCTGATTAAAATGCTGTTTTCTTTTTCCAGGAAACATTACAGAAATTTCCATTTGCCTGGCTCCAATGTAAGCAACATATAAACTCAAGTTTTTTTGTTTGTTGTTTTGGTGAAACGTTTCAAATTTTAGGCCAACGTTCTGGAGGATCTACAAGAACAAATCAGTAGAAAAATTCTCCTGGTTACCATATGCAACAGGTCTCTTGTATGCAGCATACTGGGGATGCTATGCATTGCCATTCATCACAGAGCACAACATGCTCCTCTTCACAGTCTCAGTTGCACAGGCGGTTCTGGAGCTCATTTACCTCATCATCTTCCTAGTTTACTCCTCACCAAAACAAAGGGTGCATATCTGAAAGAGTTTCATACCAGAAGGCACTTATATAATATTTCGGTTTCTATGCAGGCAAGTGTTGCAGGAGCAATTTTCGGTGTAGCAGCATCAGTTGCTGCAACAATTGCAGTAGCCAAGTCAGCAATGCACAAGCGACCAGAGAGGTGCATGTTTGCAGGGCTTCCAGCTGCCATTGTCACAGTTGCTATGTATGCATCTCCTCTCACTGTCATGGTAAGAAGATTTCTTTATTTCTTTCCTCACTGATCAAGAATTCTTTGTAACAGAGGCTGGTAATCAAGACCAAGAGTGTGGAGTACATGCCATTCTTGCTCTCCTTCTCAATCTTTGTCAATTCGGTTGCCTGGACAATCTATGGTGTTTTACAGCTTGACTACTTCATACTGGTAAACTTTCCTCTCCTCATTCTATGTGTTTTCTGTTTTTCCTGATAATATTTTTCTTCTTCTTCTCCATCCAGATTTCAGAAGGACTAGGTGCCATCCTTGGTACTAGTCAGCTTGTTCTATATGCTCTGTATAGACCAAGAAAGGACACCAGCAAAGAAGAGATTAAACTTCGGGAATTACGAGATGATGCCAAGAAAGCAGCACATATTACATTTCAGGAATTACAAGACGATGCCAAGAAAGTAGCACATATTACACTGGATGTTGACAAACTGCAAGGCCTGAACAAGAACACAGAAGAGGTCTCTCAATGAAAAACTTGAGGCTCCAAATTATATCTCCCAGCAAAAGAATATGGTTCCTTTTTTACTTTCTCACTTCTTTGCCTTGCCACAAAGCAAGACGTTTTGAGGAATTGGCTCGTTGATTCCATTGGGATCTTCCGGATTGACCACCCGCATGTAAAACTCTTGTCCAAGATACTGCCTTATAACATTTTGAGACCGCACATTCCACATGCCAACGTTGTCCAGCTCCAGCATAATGGCAGTCCACGACTTGGCATACACCTTCAAATCATAGATTAAAACATCTTAGCTTGCGAATTAATAGACTAACAGCTTACTTGAACTGTGGATCTGGCAACCGCATCCACAAGATTGTAAGTTAGCCTGCTTGAAGTTGTCCAGTCCCCTGGTCCCATACTGAGAAAACATAGTACAGCAATTAATACAAATACCGAAGTAACAAAAAGATAAAACGATGAAAAAAACTTACCCGACCACAAAGAAAGCATAGCCATCGATATGCCAGGACTGTACTGGATTCTCGTTGTTCTGGAATATGATCTCCATGAACGACCTGTACGTGCCAGATAGCACCGACGCACCATTATAGGGACTCCGCCCGTCGGGATAATCGGGGATCGAGTTGGGAGAAAAGACTCCTCCGATCTTATAGAAATCTGCCAGCTTCAATGGAGTTCCTGGATGCATGTAGGAGATGCCATTCACAGCAAAGCGCTGTTTTCCATTGATGGCCGGGGCCGAGTTTGCGAGCTTTACTGTTTTGGAGATGTTGATAAGTCCATAGTGGAAAGACCCCTGTGGATTAGGCCTCGCGGCGCCAGCGGTCAGATTCCACCTGCAAAATAAAAGTGAGGCATGGGAAATGCAGCTTCATTTTTTTATACCAGGATTACTTACTTGATGGTACGTGCTTGATTAAACGAGAAGTTTATATCACCCACAGCAGGTCCCGCTGGAAAGGGACCAGAGACACGCGAGAAAGAGTTTGTGTAGTGAAGAACTGCAACACCCGTGAGCTCTGGGAGACTGAACCTGGAAGTTGCCATAATATAAAAGTCTTTGGGACTCTGATCAGTGGTGATGAGAACCGAGTAGGACTGGCCAACGTGAACGTCAAGTGAGTCGTAGAGTGCTTGAGCCGTGTAGGATCCCTCCGTCTCCACCAGCTTCATTTTGTGGCCTTGAATTCTAAAGTTGAGCGAGGAAACGCTCCCCACGTTGGAGATTCTAAGCCTGTAAGTTTTGCCTGCACCGTTCTAGCAGTGTTAGTCTATCTGTTAGTTTATAAACGATAAAGCTTTGTGTACCTGGTTGTACTGTCAAGGTTGTTCCATAAGGACCACGTCCATTGATAAGCACGCCATCCCCCTTCCCAATCATCTCCCCTCGATCCAACGCAGCTCTTAATTGCTGGAAGAACGAAACATGTTTAACAAAAAGGAGAAACACAAAAAAAGCTACGAACTTACTGTGTGATTAAACTTGTACCAGTCGCCGATAAGAACTGTTAGCTCCGCAAAAGGAGGAGCAAATGGAACAGGAATCACTGCTCGGTTGTGGATGCGAATCCCTCCGTAGCCACCAGCCGCTCGTTGAAGAAGCAAGGATGGAAAGTAGGAAAACGTTCCAATCTGGTCCTTGGCTTGGAACTGGTAAGTCCAATTCTGTCCGGGCATTATTGGGCAGTTCGTTCCAAGCGTTCCATCTTGCCATGAATCTCGCCGCAGTTGCAATCCATTCCTAGAAGAAGAAAGCAAAAGAAATTCATCAACAAAGTGCCACAACAGGGCATTTGCTACAAAGATGCGTTTGAGATGTTCCTACCAGGTAAGAAGCAGAGGCTCGTCCAAACTGTTGCGCAGATTGATAACGACGTTGTTGTTCGTTGTGGTCTCAAGCTCGGGACCCGGAAACTGCCCGTTTATCGCGATTACCTGGACGATCCCCAAGAACATCACAAAAAATTAGACGATAATCTCATTGCCTGCAAAGATCTCGAAACACTTACCCGCTGGTTCACTCCCAGAGGCGATGTGTTGACGAAAGAAACATTCCAGTCGTGGAACTGGTACGGATCTCCCGCTCTGGCGACTAGTACCAAGGCGCATGCGACCAATGCAGCATTGAGGAGCAATGCCGGTCGCGCCATAGCTGGAAATCGCCCCCACAAGCCGCGATCGATCGAAATATCAGCAAAGAATCGAAGAATCGATGGATTTCGGCGCAAGAAGGACGAATCTAGCTAGCGCCGGGGTGGAGAGGCCATGGCCGCGAGCAAGAGGCGTCGTCGAGAGGGAGGAGGCTGGAGCAATGGAGAGAACCCTGAGAGCGACGGCGTTAACGAGAAATGAATATGCCACCGATTTGAGGCATGGATACCTTTTTCCTCGCGGTGGGCACGAGGAAAAAGCTCTGGATGCCCAGCCGTGATTAATCATTACTAATGGGGATTATCGGACTAAGAGGAAAGAGACCAGCCTCCATTCATGTGAATGGCGGGACAAAAAAGCTGACCTGGCGTGCTAGCTGTCCTAGTCAGCTTTAGTAGTCAACGGCCCCGATCTCCCCTGATCGCACGGCGCGCCGCAAATGCCAAAGCATATTCGTTTTCCCGCCGTTTGGAGGCCAGCACAGCTGGAAAAGGACCCCCGCCCCCGAAAAGAATGTTTCTTGGTTCTTTCCTTCACCGCGTCACGATAATGAGGTCGGCGATCATGCTTTTTAACTCGCAAAAACTAATCCTGGCTTCCAACTGTTAGAGAATCTACAAAACAATAAGCAAAAACATACCTCGCGTCGTAAGTTGCCGAGAGAACATCGTGTGATCTTGCAAGTTTGTCAGTTGAGTTGCTTGAGATCTTCCAAGCCAAAGTTAAGTCACTGCTCCGCAGAGACGAAGCTTGCTCCAGAGTCGGGGGACTCGGAGTCCGATATCTGGAAGGGCTGCTTTGATGTCTTTCGAGGCTTCTTTCCCTGCTTTGGCTTTGCCGGCTTGTCCTCCTCCTCCGCGAACTCGTCTAAGTTGATTGGCGAGCGCGTGGTTTTCCACTCCGAGTCTGGAGCATCCCTTTGCCGCTTCGGCATTGACGCCGCGGATACCTTGTTCCGAGTTTTGTCCGAACTCGAGTGCTCGCGTACCACTTGATCGACCACCTCGAGAATTCGAGCACCGTACTTATTGCTCTTAACCCTGTTTGCAAGAAAGGATTAGCTAAGAAGGAAGAAGTTTTAGGTGAAACGTACTTCCCAATGCCGTTGATTTCTAGCAGTTCATCTACGGTCTTCGGAAGCCTCTTACTAATCTGATGAAGCTCTCCATTTCTGACACACAAAACAAAGTCAGCTTTCCTACATACAATGTAAACTCACCCCATGATATGATACGGAAGAAGATTCCCTCCAATTTCATTCATTATTTCCGTTCGTAACTTTTGAAGAGCAGAATAAACTTCCATCGAAATTGCCTGCCAAGGAAACGTAAATCACATTGCCCCAGACAGAAGTTTATAGAACTCACGGGTGAGACCGAACTCGAAGACGAAAGTCCATCTTCTGGATCAGATAGCTTTGTCGCCAGAGGTGCTTTTTTAGTCGACACGGGAGTGCGTTCGGGTTTGTCAGCTTTTTTCACAGCAGGAAACCTGTTTCCGCGGTCACTGTATCAGCCCCTAATCGATAAGAACAAGAAAAGAATACTTCATCACGATTTTGCACACTCCATCAAATAGTTCCCGTGCTTTGTAGTCGTTAACCTGTCAACGTTTTCCTAAGTTTTGAAATTGTGCTGAACGTACGTACCTTTAAGATTGAGGAAATAGAGCCAAATGTATCGCTTTTGTTGATGTTCTCCTTCAATACCTCATCAAACACCAGTCGATGCAATATCCTTTCTACGACACTTTTGTTTAAACTCTTTCCTGCCCCGTGGAGCTCTTGCAGATGATGATTAGCGTTTTTAACCTGCAGTTAATATGATAGTAAGCGTGAATAAGCACGCATACATACCTGCTGGCTCATGGAACCTCGAAAAACATCTATAACATGCGACATGGTGAAGCTTTGGCCAAGACCATTGATGAGCTGCACCTGCATTTACAGTTTAAGTAATACCTCTGCCGAGTTTGTTCAATTGATAGCTTACAAGCTGCTGGCAAACTGGAGTCATATCTTCTTCGACAAAACTTACAGCTTTGGAGCAGTTATCGCAAGTGCTTTTGCAAGATGCGCTGTCAAATTTTTCACCAAAATGACCAAGTTGAAGAGATCTCCGACAATCCACCTCGTTTTCGCAGTAAGCACCCTGTGGTAGTCCTAAATTGAATGTACATCATCTCAAATCGAAGCTTACCATCCTTTGAAGATTGTCAAAGTTTGTTTTCAGTTGATTCGCAGTGTCAGAATTGTTCCAGCTACGTCCAGTAGAAGTCTGATCGACAGCTCCTTGAGAAAGTAAATGCTTTACCCGAACCTGGCATTACAACTTCTGTGAGAAAATCATTCCCTCTGTTGTCCTAATGCTTACATAGTCACTATAGCTGTAGTAAAGAATACAAGAAGCTGGAAGATTGTCTCGTCCAGCACGACCGGATTCCTGGTTGAAAAACCGTTAAAATGCATCGAAGTAAATTAAAAAAAAGGTACCTGGTGATAGCCTTCAATTGATTTTGGAATAGAATGATGTATGACGAATCTTACATCTGGCTTGTTGATACCTGTCAAAATTCCTGTGAAGCTCACGCAGTTTAGTATTATGCGGGCTTACCCATGCCGAATGCCACAGTGGCACAGATTATATTGATTTCGTCCTTACTCCACATACGTTGCACCCTGTTCCTTTCTTGTGGATCCATGCTAGCATGGTAGAAACCAATTTTGTGACCGGTTTTCTAGAAGGATACTATCAGTACAATTTGCAAGAGTACGAAACATACTTACCCGAAGCTGTTCGCAAACTCTCTCGCAATCCATCTTTGAAAAGCAATAAATTATACCAGATTCATGAGGATAGTTTTCTTTGATGAAAGCGTCAATCTCTTCGTAGACTTTCTTTGTTTTTGGTACGACTGAGTACCTGCAGCAAGGAATTAGCCAACACATCACAGAAACATTCACAGCAAGAAACCTTAAGTTCGGTCTGTTGAAGGTTTGCCGGAAAATTATGCATTTGCAGAGACCAAGAGCTTGAACTACGTCTTCTTTGACTCTCATTGTAGCAGTAGCTGTAAGTGCCATCAGTGGTACGTCCGGGAATTTTTGCTTCAAAATGCCTAAATTCTTGCCGCATTGAAGAAAACATCATGAGCTAGATGTAACACAAAATATTTCCTACCTGGTAATCTGGACGAAAGTCATGACCCCACTGGCTGACACAATGTGCCTCGTCGATGACAATACGTGCCAAGAGTCTTCTCCTGTGCAAGTTCTCCAAGTTCCTCAGTAGATTATCGCTTCTGTATGATTGGGTCAGAAAAGCACGTATACATTATGTAGTTGTAACCTTGCAATTTTCTCAGGCGTCACATATAGCAGACGGTATTCGCAATGGTCAAAATTAAGCTGCTGCAAGATTTGCCTTTGCTCTTCGTATTCCAGGTTTGAGCTTAGGTGTTCGGCTCGAATGCTGGCCTACAAAATGATAGAATATTTATTCCCTTTTTTTCGTTGCAGTATACCTGTGAGAGATGCATTATTTGGTCCATGATAAGAGAGACAAGAGGACAGACTACCAGAGTCACACCCGGGCAGCAAATAGCTGGAAGCTACAGAAAAAACCATTTAGTAGCATTTTTATATGGAAAAAAGCATACCTGATACGTAAGGCTCTTTCCTCCGCCAGTCGGCATGAGCACAAAGACGTCATGACCGCTCATGGTTGCATTGATTATTTCATGCTGATTTGGCCTGAAGGACTTGTTACCAAAATATCTTCTGTTGTTCGCCTAAACTTTAAAAAGCCTATGTAAAGAACAATAAACAAAAATGAAATATCTGCTGACCTTCAAATCCATGCTCCAAGGAAAATCACTTCGAGACCACTGTCTGTCGTTAGCACCTTCGACATAATTCACCTCGGAAAAATTCTGTCGAACGTAATCACGGGATTGCGGCGTGGTCAACGATAAACGTCCATCAAAAGCATATGGTTGCACAGACTGGGGCGTAGACCATTGCCTGTGAATATGATTTTCTTCGCTAGGAGGATATGGTTGACAGAACTGAGCCGATGGTGGACTGGACCACTGCCTCTGGATATGATGGGTTTCAGAAAAGTTTTCCCGTCTATAATCTCGAGGGCCGGTATTCGATGGTGGCGTGTCCAAACAAATCGTCGACGAAGCAGTGGCAGGATACCCTGAAGGTGGCGTGTCCAAAAGTATGGGACCTGTATGCGGAATCGCAAACTGCGCACCAGCTCCTGCATGGGTGCCACCAAAAACGGCAGGAGCTGATTGCGTTGTTTGGAATCCTTCAGGCGTGGCACTAAGTTGGCCGCTCTTCACATAATGTTCTGAGACAATCTGATCAAGATCAATATCCTGCATTCCAGGGTAAGACGTGAAAGAAACTTCACGCTGCTCGTTTACCTCGAGAAAGTCATCGTCCACAAAAGAGTCACATGTAGTAGCACTATGTTTAGAGACAGCCCCCGACTTCCCGTGAGTTTGTTCAACAACTATCGGACCGCGCTGAGATACCGTCTGGTTCTGTGAAGGCAATGCGGCCGAAGTCAAGGGCTTTCGACAAATATTACTCGAAGAATCGATAACCGGCGCACTAATCCCAGGCCTGACGTAGTCAATGTGTGTCGCAGCTAAGCTTTTCCACACCTTTTTCCAAGTCACGACCAATTTAGAACCATTGAGTCATGCGAAGAATCCATGTACGCACCTTCGAAGCCGCTTGAGAATGATTCGCATCGACGGGTTGAATCACGCATGCCATAGAGATCCTAGAAACGTTTTTTTTTTCTCAGAGACGACAAAGACGAAAACAGCACAGGACTCACCGAGATAAATGCGGCCGCTGCCCAGGCAACGAGTAAAAGAAGCCACGATTCTTCGACGTGGATAAGCTCTCAAGCTTCTGCAAAACTTGATGTAAATTTGTTTCTACCGCTCCATCATTTGATCCGCATTTCCTGCCATTCCAGTCAGCAATTCCTCGGGATTTCTTCGGCATTTACCTCCTATTCATGAGTTCGTAGCATGTTGAAGCTAAAGCCGAGGAAAATCACTGCCCTGAAAACCCTAGCTGATCTCAGCCCAAATCTTACTCCATAGAAGCTGCACGGCCGCTCGAAATCAAGGGGTGAGCAGCTACATTCGATCCGCACAGTCGCTCAGCCCAGCGCCTTCCTCCCGACGAGCAATGCAGCTGAAACCCAGGGCTTCCCAGAAATGGAGGGAAAAAAGTGCGAAGAGCCCTAAATTTCAAAAGCCAGTAGTGGCGTACAGAAGTGCAGACAAAGATATACCGGTAAATTCTTAGTAAATTCTCCACCGTCCAAAGACCATGAGCACTACAGATTATATAAAGGAATAGATTCGACGATCACGTTTAGGAGCGAGAGAGGGAGTTTATCTTGCTCGCAGGATTTCTTTCTTTATTTTTGGGTAAAGTGAGGGACTCCGCGCAAGAATAAATAAGTGGTGTTAAAGCCAAATGTTCTCGCGAAATTGAAAGAGCTAACGCTGCTCAGGAGGCTCGAAAATCATAGCAATGGATCAAATATTACACGCGAAATTCATCATTGGAATCATAGGTGAAGTTCTTGATCCAGAAATCCAGCCAGAGCTCTCTCTCTCTCTCTCTCCTCTGTCTCTCTCTCTGTTGCTCAAATTCTTTTGTGCAATCAACTCATGTTTGATCGTCACTGGTGCGTGTCATTCTTCCAAAGTGATTGAATCTTTCCTCGATCATTCTTCTCCGCGATTTCATCAGCAATCTCTTTGCTTGTAGTCGCAAAAAAGACGAGAAATCTCTCGCGGATTTCTTAACTAACGGAAGCTAACGCCTTCAAGTTGCCTTGTGGTGCCAGGAAATATTGCTACCATATCAACCAGCCTCGCTCCAATGTAAAAAACTCTAAAGAACTCTCCCTTTTTTCAAATCTCTGACCGATTCAAATATGTTTAGCCCAACTTTCTGGCGGATTTGCAAGCGAAGGTCCACGGACGATTTCTCGTTTCTTCCATACTTAATGTCATTTACATGCAATCTTTTGTGGGGATGGTACGCTCTCCCCTTCATCACCTCCAACAATTTCGAGCTTCTAACCATTTGCATCGCACAAGTCTCACTCCAAACAATCTATATCCTCCTCTACTTTACATTCACGGACCGCTACCAAAAGGCAAGCCCTCTGGAAAGAGTTTTTCAATCTCAAACTTTTGGCAACATTGTTTTCCAGATCAAGCTCTTTTTCTCGATCCTCTTCGTGGGCTTTATCTTCGCGGTTGATTCAGTGGCGTGCCTGAAAATACTTGGCAAGTCTAGAGGGCAATTCTTTGCAGGAACAAGCGCCACGATCGCAGCGCTTCTTTGTTTTGCGTCACCACTTTCGATAATGGTATGTGCGTGTTAGTATTCCCTCCTCCACTCTCTAATATTCTTTGGACTATATACATTCTTTAACGCTTCGGTTTCTTTTCCCAGGGACTGGTCATCAAAACCAAGAGTGTAGAGTATATGCCACTTCTGGTCTCCCTTGCGCTCTTATTCAATTGCGTCACTTGGACGGTTTATGCCCTTTTGGGGAAAGACGTGTTTCTCACGGTAATCCACACTTGTTTGATGTTTCTCTACTGAGTTTTGGTTGCCAGATTGCCGAAGCCATGGGAACTGCATTGGCTGTCGGACAGCTGATTTTGTATGCTTGCTACTGCCGTGTCAAAAAGCCACCGGTCCATGTGGAAGAGTCACTCTTTGAGTCGTCTAAGGACCACTCCAAAGTGGAGATTGCTGTCATAGTTGCACAGCCATCCGAGGATTAGGAAGAGATTAGAACCATTCAATTGATCCGGCTCCTAAACCAAGCTCACAACGCTTGAACAACCTGGAAGACAAATAAAAAACTCTCAAGGTGTTTATGGAATAAAGGATTTAAGCATTTTTGTTGCTAAACTTGAACGGAGAAAAAGTTAGGGTAATCTAAACAATTTACATGACACAGTTATCCACGTGGACAAGAGCGGTTTGTGACGAGTTTTAAGGTTCTTGGCATCCACGAATCTTGGAAGTTTCAATAAACCACACTTTCACTTGTGCTGTTTGCTCATAGCTTGTTCGCAGCCATGAGGGAGATTCTTCACATCCAAGGTGGTCAGTGCGGCAACCAGATTGGAGCTAAGTTCTGGGAGGTGGTGTGCGACGAGCACGGCATCGATCCCACCGGGACGTACCACGGCGACTCGGATTTGCAGCTGGAGCGCATCAATGTCTACTTCAACGAGGCCAGTGGTGGCCGCTACGTTCCTCGCGCGGTGCTCATGGACCTGGAGCCCGGCACCATGGACAGTGTCCGCTCCGGGCCTTACGGCCAAGTCTTTCGGCCCGACAACTTCGTCTTCGGCCAGACCGGCGCTGGGAACAACTGGGCCAAGGGACACTACACCGAGGGAGCGGAGCTCATCGACTCCGTCCTGGACGTGGTTCGCAAGGAGGCCGAGAGCTGCGACTGTCTCCAAGGTGCGTATTACTCTTGATCTTTCCCCGAGCAGCACTTGACTCTCCTTGGACAGGGTTTCAAGTGTGTCACTCCATGGGAGGAGGGACCGGCTCTGGGATGGGAACTCTCCTCATCTCCAAGATCCGCGAGGAGTACCCGGACAGGATGATGCTCACCTTCTCCGTGTTCCCGTCGCCCAAGGTCTCGGACACCGTCGTGGAGCCCTACAACGCGACGTTGTCCGTCCACCAGCTGGTGGAGAACTCGGACGAGTGCATGGTTCTGGACAACGAGGCGCTCTACGACATTTGCTTCCGGACCCTCAAGCTCACCACTCCCACCTGTGAGTAGTCTAGCAAGTTCTTGAGATCATGAAATCTTCTCTTTTTCTCGCAGTTGGCGACTTGAACCACTTGATCTCGGCCACCATGAGCGGGATAACTTGCTGCCTCCGCTTCCCGGGCCAGCTCAACTCGGACCTCCGCAAGCTCGCCGTCAACCTCATCCCCTTCCCTCGCCTCCACTTCTTCATGGTGGGATTTGCGCCGCTCACGTCGAGGGGGTCGCAGCAGTACCGCGCGCTGAGCGTCCCGGAGCTGACCCAGCAGATGTGGGACGCCAAGAACATGATGTGCGCGGCGGACCCCCGGCATGGCCGCTACCTCACCGCCTCGGCGATGTTCCGGGGTCGCATGAGCACCAAGGAGGTGGACGAGCAGATGCTCAACGTCCAGAACAAGAACTCGTCCTACTTCGTCGAGTGGATCCCAAACAACGTTAAGTCGAGCGTGTGCGACATCCCGCCCAAGGGGTTGAAGATGTCTGCGACGTTCATCGGGAACTCGACGTCGATCCAGGAGATGTTCAAGCGAGTGAGCGAGCAGTTCACGGCCATGTTCCGGCGCAAGGCGTTTCTTCACTGGTATACTGGTGAGGGGATGGACGAGATGGAGTTTACCGAGGCGGAGAGCAACATGAACGATCTGGTGTCCGAGTACCAGCAGTACCAGGACGCCACCGCCGATGAGGAGGGCGAGTTTGAGGAGGAAGAGTGATAGAAAACAAGTTTTTCCTATATAATGTATTTTACCTTTAACCTCTGGCATTTCTAATAGTTAGTCCATTTTCGCTGCTTGATCTGGGCGCACCAATCTTTGCCGCCGCGGTTCGCGGCTCCTGGTAGGATTGAAGAGCTCCGATGTCACAAATGCAGAATGCCCCTGAAATCCACCTCCGCCTCAAGGTGTGGAGCTTCATTGTGGCGTGGGAGGCAAGTAGCGTTTGACAATTAGATTCGTGCATTAGATCGCAAGCGATCACTCTTAAAGTTATTTCCTCCCAAGTAATATCTTTTTTTCTTTTCTTCCACGTCTCTCTTTCCTTTTTTTTTGTGTGTAAAGAGGAGGGAATCGTCGTCCACACAAGGCGATGAACTTGCTTCTACGAAAGATTGGTTACTGCGAGTAAGAAAAGAAAAACTCATACCTGGTACTGGAATGTATTCCAAGTCAACAAGCAGTGGTACGTGACGATGTAAGAATGTATATGCACGCGGCTACTAACAGTACGTTCTCTCCGTAGGGATTTTTCAAGCAATCGTTCAACGCTCTGGATTTTTAACAGAGAATTTGAGGCCTGGTTCTTCCATCGTCAAGATACTAAATCTCTTGATTTTAAAGTTGGGCTTTTGAAACCAGCGCATATCTCAACAATCCCTTGGAGAAAAGGAAACGAGACAAGTACAATGTTGACAAGACCATACAGAAAAAGAGCTCCGATCGGTGCTTTCAGCTGGTTTTACTTGGATGAATCGGACCAACGAGCTCGTACATAAGTGGTGACAACTTGCTTCGCATTTCACGGAAGATTGTTGGTTTGACAAACAGCTAGAAGAAGAAGGTACTGAGGCTACCTTTGCTCGTTTCTATTTCTTTCCCTTTCCGTTCCTTAGAGCCAGGAAACTTGACTGATCAAACCATTTAAAACCAGGTGGGAGGAGGAGGCTTGTTGGTGATTCTAGCTCACCTTTCAACCATAGCACCTGTGATGGACGAAACGAGCAGTGCATTGGGTATGTAGTGGTTCCAAGTTTTTCTTATTTGCTTGTTTCTGTTGATGGAAGTTTATCAAGCCTCTCATGCGATGACTTGGTCGAAACCCGGATTACTTAGCGAGCACTCAGAAACGGCTCCAGAAAGCAATAGAGCTAGGTCGAGTGAATTACAAGCAAACTTTCGTTGATTTCTCCCAACTTAAAGTAGCTCTCACAGATGCAAACGGAAGGAACATGTGGTTTTAGCTCCTCAACGGGCACGAAAGACGGTCCTGGAGCTTTTGATTTTAAACAAGGGTATACCCAGGTAATACGTTAAAAAAAGTTCTCAGTCTTTGACACTTGAGACAAGGGAAATGCGTTTTGGTGAATTAGAGCAGCCCTGAAAATGCCAAACATCAATCACATGAAATGTTGGTAAGCATGGGAGCCAAGTGTGAGTAGTATTAACATTTTTTCTAGTACAAATTAAATCTTTAAATGGTGAAAACATCCTTTATCAGTATTTATACTAAGCTGAATTTGTATGTATTATTAGTGTTATAATAAAAATTCATTCCCTGATTCTTGATAGTTTAGATCATCAGTCTCAAAAATGAAACTTTAGAATTACAATAGTGTTAGAACCACTTGTGTTATAATTATATAGAATAACTCGAATACTGTCATTCTTAAAAATGTAAGATTCTACACTTTACTCATAATTTAAACTTTCAAAGAAACTAAGACATTATATGTAAAATAACTCTTATTGTGATCTTAGAACAAAGTATATTACCTACAATCAATACCATTTAACAATATTTTCATTAATTTTGGTGAATCCACAATCTCAAATAAGATTCTATTTTAGAATATTCTTAAGAATAACATTAAATTTAATAATAAGTTACATTTTTTTGTTTTTAATTATTATCTGCATAACCATCTCAAAAAACAATTTTCTTATATTTTTTAGTAATGAAAACTATAACTATGAGTAGTGTTTTTATAAATGTTTCTAAGTCTTTATAAAATCTTTACTTTTTTATATGGTATTTTTGTGTAAATATGCTTTATATTTTGAAAAATAGATGGATTTGCAGATATATATATATATGATGTGCCATTTATCACATTTTTTTCATATATACTCTTTTGAAAGCTATATTTTTACATAAAAAATCTTTTGCATCTTTATCCACAATTAACATTCATATTATGTAATTTTGAAGTTCTTCAAGGATTTATCTTCTTTAGAAAGTTCAGATGGTGATGAATATAAAGAATTGTGAGTGCTTGGAATATAGAAAAGGGAATACAGAAATGTGCATATTAATTAGCCCAAAAACCCTAGCTTATATACAGGAGCGAGTGGTCCAGATTGAAACTAATCTGACGGCTACTAAAATGCCACTATGCTAATATTAGTATACGGCATCGTAGCCGTACACTTGGCCCCTCACATCATCCCCTCCTCTTAGAATAATGGAAGACCATCAGGGTTCTCTTGTAGACGGGCCGGGATCTTGAGGAACATCAGGAGGAGGCATTGGTGGATCTGTACATGGTATTAACTGCTCCTGATCCATTTGTATGAAGTGTTTCAACCGCTGCACATGCACAATCTCTGGAAGATCGGCTTGCTGGACATCATGCCGAACCTCATAAACTTGTGGTCCAACTTGCCGCAACACCCGATACGGTCCTTTCCATTGTGCAAGGAGCCCCTTAGATAAACCACGTACCGTAAGATGGGGAAAACGGACTAACACCAAATCATCCACTTTGTACTCCATAGGTGGACAATGATGGGAGTTGTAGCACTGTTGTTGTCCCACTTGTACGTGGCCTAAGTGTTCGGCAAACTTCGCTCGGACAAGTGGAAGAATGCTTGTCAAATATTGATCCCATGACCTAGCATCTGCAGCTCGTGGCAATCGCGAAGGTAAACCCAGCTCCGTTGGTAATATTGGATCATGACCATATAGGAGTTTATATGGTGAAGCACCAATAGAGCTCTGCACCCCAGTGACATATGCATACCGAAGAGACGGCAAATAACCATCCCAATCCGAATGCTGAAAGTTCACATACTTCGCAATCATCCCCTTGAACGTCCGAACGAGCTGTTCCACTAGACTGTCTGATTGTGGATGATAAGCACTTGTGAAAGTGTGGCAAATCCCCAACCGAGACGTCAAAACATGAAATGCCTCAACCATAAATGTGGGACCATTATCCGAAAGAATCCACTCTGGATAAGAATGCTGGAACACCACTCAATTGAGGAGGAAGTATCCAACAGCAGTTGTAGAGGCGCTAGCAAGAGCACCAACTTTCACCCAATGAGTC